CTTAAAGTTTCTAAAATTACATTCAACACAGGCTCAACGTTTCTGAATGTTTACAGTGTATTTTAATTTATCTATTCAAAAAGCCTGAAACATCGCACTTAGACAATCCTTTCTTTGTATACAGCGACGATTGGCGGATCGGATACAGAACGTCAGATAAGTGGGGGTCCCACTATCAAAAACTTTTTTTTTTCCTACCCCTGTGAGCCTTAGTTTGTCCTAAAATAAGACGATTTTTATTATTATTATTTTTAAGACGAGGGGGGAACCTGAAAATTGTTTTAAAAGCCGTCGACCGCCAACTTCCAGATTAAAAATCTAGAACCCTTATAGTCGTAACTGAAATCGTAGTCCTACGAGAAGCGATGAGATGGTAACTGGATCACGACTAATGTACCACTCATACCTTCAGTCTAGCACCATCTTTAGTTCTTGTTACATCACTACAGCCTTCTCCCGCCAGAATGTTAAGTTCTCTGATGTTCTTCATGACAAGGTCAAAGTCCATTTTAAATTCCCGAGGCATATTACTAACTAGTGAAGTATCTAGTATAAAATATTGAAAAACGGTAACTATAAGAAACAGGTAGTATTATCAACCTTAGCTAAAAAATAAACATATTTTCTAATATGGTTTGAAATTGGTAAAGAAATTACATGTGTAAGGTCTGGTTCAGTCTTACACTAGGTTGAAATTTCGACCCCAGGTAAGCGAATCCCGATTCCGGAATCCGAGAAATTTCTGCTTTTGAAATCCGGAACCGGAAATCCTGGACTTTGGAATCTGGAATACAGCTCAAGGAATCCGGAATCCCACTAACTATTGGAATCCAGAATCCAAGTTTCGCTGACAAAGACTGGAATCCAGTATCCAATACTGTCGTGGATGCCCTTTTTAATACATGGGCGAAAAACAAAGGTTGTCTGAAAAAGCAAAAATTTGGTTTTATCAACTGTATCATGTGGAAAATTTCATTTACTAGCGTAAAATCGTTAAAAAACTTTAATCTCGAGTGCTATAACCCTTCGTCAGAGTGGAACCGTCCGGGAATAGCCTGGTAACGAAATACAACCGACGTTCGTTTCATGGGCTTACGAGACAACGCGACCGAAAAAGCTAGTATGGACACGGGCATTTCTCTGTTTTTTGTAAAAACGAGAACTAGGACTAACAAATGCGCACGCCCGAGAATCTCAAGGTTCACAGGACTACCACCGTTTCCTTCGAGACAACAGGGCATTTTAATGTTAGAACATACTTTTAATTAGGTAATATACAAAATTTTAACTTACCAGGATTCCATACTGCCTTTTGATGGCCCAAAAAGCTAGTATCTGAGGATGGTGATTCTTCTAAAACATCATAATCAGAATCAGCAGCAGAGTCATCTCCAACCCACACCATACCATAATCAGCCAAAAAGTCCTGAAACAGAGAAAGTAATAGTCTGTCGTACCGTTTTTCTTCAATACCCGCCCAGGCGGTCAGATAAAGTCATTAGGATCTCGTTGGATCTTAAAGTCCCTATTTTGGCGTGAAAACGCGATAGCCGTTGTCACTTGTCGTCATTCCACTACGAGTATTAGCGAGAATGCTGTAGTGCCGGAAACAAGTCTTTTGGACTGAAGTTTCGACTACAAGCCTGTGAGCAAGCTCTCCATTTATCTCGAGAGAAGCAAGCCGCGAGAGAACATCTTCCTCGCAGGCTGGTTGACAACCTCTACAGTAGTCATCTTCAGTGTCAGAGTTTTTGTGGTTTGCAAGTGGTTCGCTCTGTCGTCCAAGTGAACGTAAAACTGTGAAAGGTTTGAAGCCAGGAGTCACTTGATAAGTAGGTTGAGTCTGTTCGTTCGGTTGAGTGTTGTTGACAATGACTGACGTTTCGACAACCTGTGCTGTAGTCATCTTCAGAGTCTAAGCATAAACATGTGGGAGGATATTGGCATACCATAACTAACACTGACTCGAAGCTGGGTCAAAAAAACAATCAGATTTTTCTTAATTTCAGCGAGGATCATATCCCTACTACAATGGAACCCTGTTGATGCCACCACCGTTGGACAATAAACCCTGATGGTAATAACGAGATGGTCGCATTAACGGGGTATTTAAAATAATAAAATGACTCAGTGGTTTTTACGTTTGGGTGGAAAGAATATTGTCGTAATAACGAGGTCGTCGTATAAACCGGGGGGGGAAGGGGGGGGGGTAATAAGACGGTATTCCACTGTACCTCCATCTGGAATACTTGAGTCTGTAATCTCCTGCATTTTCTTTCTAGTTCTGTTATTGTATCTGAATTATAACCTGAAAGGCAAGTAAAGGGGCAGATAAAACTCAAATGCTTGAATAAATGGACCATCTCTATTTCTTACCTTACTTTACGTAAGTTTCTATTGACAAATTCAATATCCCTCACAGTGGTACAGCTGGGATTAGTTTTTCCATAGGTATAATGCAAAGTTGTTTTTAAATGTGCCCCACATCACCTCCTGAATTCTTTCCATGTGGGTTTATTTGATTAAATGGGTGTTTTCTAACAATATGGTATATATAGTAACATACAAGTAAGATAGGAGAGTGCTCTACCAGGGACTGCAGAGCCGGGGGAACTGGAGGGGGGAGGGGGGGAGCTAAAGCACCCTCAATGATTTTGCCACCATTTTGAATGGTCCTATAAGTAAATATCATAAAACAGCAAGTTATCCAGCTCTTCGGCTGTAAAACATTCATGTACCATGCAGATTAGAACTTGTGTTATATGATTGAATAACATATTGTATGTTCAACGTATTTTTGTAAACACATATTACATGTATATCAGTTAGCCTTCTTTCAACGATAATCCACCATAGCAAATAATTTTTTGACGTTGGCTACTTTATTAAAGATTTTTATTATTATCACAGTCAGAGATGCCTTTTTTCATTCACAAAATGAGCAAAATGTCATGAAATATATACTATAAATATGTCGCAAATGCACCTCAAAATGAGACTTTTATTTCACAATTTCCCAGAGGAGAACACCCTGGACCCTGCTTATTTCTCCCGCCTTTAGTGGTCGCTAGCGGCCCCTCCCCCCCCTCCCCCCAATCCCATTCCAAATTTGGCTCTGTGATCCTCGCCTACAGGCAACAGTTACAGTCTCCACACCCTTCCACAGTGGCAAAATGGCTGGGGTGGGGAATGCTGAAAAGCTATCACTTATATACCTTCTGTTTTTTTTTGTTTGTTTGTTTTTTTAATCATTATTTTTAGACTTTGTTTTTATTAATCATCAACAATTTGCCAGTAGCCCATGAGTGTACTGAGGTTAGGTAGCTACACCCATCTCAATACGACCTGTTGAGACAATTTGAGAGTTTTGGTTCACTTGACAAGGTTTTAAATGGTCTGGAAGACTTTCTCAACTAATTGATGCTTGATATTTTTAATAGCTTACATGCACTCCACTATTACACTGTATCTTACCTCTGGCTTTTTCTAACAATTTAGCTTTTTCCTCAAGGATTCGAATCTTCTTATCCTTAAAAAACCAAATAAACAGAAATTAAAACTTAAGGGTGAATGTTGATCAATACTTAAATACATGAATACCAGATCTGCCTTTTGCAATGCTGACTTCAGATATCTACAGCTTTTAATGATGTAGATAATTTAAGATGCTACATTATACATTGTACTCACTATCTGACTTCTTATTGATTGGATAAGAGCCAACAGTTTATTTTGGAAATCAGTGCAACCTACAGATTAGTCAGTTATCTGCTTGTAGATTAGTGACTTATCTGTAGATTGCATGTGCAATGCATGATTTCTAAGAGTATAAATGTCAGACTGTGTTCTGTGCAACAGTGTGTTTGTTGCTATTTTCTTCAAAAAAATGTACATGTATAACAAAACAACATTACTAGACTCAGTTTTTGTGAGATCAGGAATAATCAAGGTCTTGGTAAGTAAACTCTCGTAAACGACCACCCCCCATAAGCGACTGCAGCCACTTTGTGGAGAGACAGTTTTAAATTTTCCATTGTTTTTAAACTCCCATTAGTGACCACTTGATGCAGGTCTAATCTCTATGTTTCCTGTATGTACTATGTGCACTATGCTACTCAGAGTGTATACGAAGAACTTTTAGTGACAACATAGAGCTTAAATGGTAACTAGGAAATTGCATGCAGTAAATTCTTCTTCAAAAAGTATATGTGTCAGGACCTCTCATTGGAAAACACCCATTTGCTGTTTGATTGTTTCAGTCTTTGACAACCTCCCATTATTAACCACTGAACCTTAAATGTACTTTAGGTGATTGGGAGGTCTGACTGCATCTACTTTAAACAGAGCTACATTACAGTAAGTTCGAATAAACCAAATTAAATTAACCTGTGCTCACAAAATTTTGGTGCACAAATGTTATGTAAGAAGTGGGAAAAAGAGACATTACAGCTTCAGTAAGTCCCACGATCATACACTTCTCAGTTAATACTATTTTGATCTTGGTCTCAAGCGCACAAGTATAGTTATCCCTTCAACCAGACTTATAAATCAAAGACCTCTAGAAATTTGACTTTAAAAATGTATGTCACGCCCACCTTGTATACTGCTATGAAAATTTCATAGCAGTGGAAATGAAATAACAGACAGTGTTCTCCTTAAATTTTAGCTCAGCAGGTAAGGGACCATTCATGGCTGGTAAGGCCAAAAATGCCCCAGAGGTGCACTTTCCTGGGAGAGGGGGAGGGGGTACTGGAGTGAGGGACATGGCCATGCCCTCTCTGGGAAATTTAGGAGCTAAGTTGTCTAAAATGTCATTCCCTCATTTCAAGACCTATTTTACACAAATCGAACTTTGTTATCTTTAGACAACAATTTAAAACGTTTTATTCAAATAATTTTACTCTGTCTTCAATGTCCTTTTAAGTTTCCAAAATGCATAGCCCATAAAAAGAAAAGCTGTGTATACTTTAATACTTTTCAACACATTCATTCATTTCCTTGATTGGATCAGACCACAACTTGCCTTTTTATTAAAACTACAATTTTTAATTCTAGTAAACCTTTAAGCAGTTGCAGGTGGTAAGAAGTGCTGCTTCAGGCAGCAAATTTTACTGGTTACCACCTGATAAGGAGAACACTGTCTTGTTTAATGCTCAGTGAAACAATGGCAAAACCACATACTTAAAATAATTACATGACTGTATAAATAGAAATAATACTCATTAGTATGGTTATTATTATCAATTTAAACTCATCAACAGTAGATGAGCTGGGGGAAGGTGCCTGGAAAGACGTTTGAGCCACAAGCACAAGAGCTGAGCATGCAGGGTAACCATGATAACCCTGTAAGCGGCAACCACCAGACATCATCACACCAAAAAAAAGTGCAAAACTGATACTTACCTCATACTTACCACAGAGAGGGAGGGAGGGCAGGGAGTGAGGACGCCAAGCACAGTTGAAACGGGCAAAACACACGAGAGCAGAAGTTGACCTCAACAGCTGCGCTCTAAAACCACGTCACCACCTGCAAAACTCCCAACCACTCTGCATGCCTGCAACAGGGGAGGCCACTGACCAGCTCAGTTTCGCATTTAACTTAGCTTAAATTACACTTCACCACATCATAATTATTTACAGTACTTACTATAATAAATAGTTACAATGTTTTTTTTTACCTTTTCAAGTAGCTGTGTCTGAGCAGCTTTTAGCCGCTGTTCTGCTTGAGCTAAACGAGACATCATACTGCCAAGGAGTTCATGGTCTGTGGGTACTATTAATAATGATCACTGTGAATGCCCATTCTTTGACCAAGAGTCTAACCCATTCGCTCCTGAACTGCCCATAACCACTACATCCTATGTATCCCATGTGGTCATCAGTTTTAACAGTCGAGGACAACTTTGTCAGCAACTTGTGCAGGAGGAAGAGATCTTTCAAACCACACCAAAATGAGCATGATTCAGTCAAGGGACAGACAAAGAGGCAAAGAGACAACCAGTGGTTAGCTCGAAAGCTAAGCTCCTCTGACCACCGTACAATTCTACCCAAGCCATTAATTTTCTTTTTTTTTCCTTCTTCTTCTCCTTTATTAGTGTATCCCTACCTTACTATATATAATGTAAATATTTTATAAAGACAAGTGTGAATAATAAAATTGAATTGAATTGAATTGTAAAGTTGACACGAAAATTCACATGAATATCTTGTTCCACTACCCACCGCGATCCACACTTCCTTCCATATAATCCTACAATCAAAAAACTTTCCCAAAAACTTTTCCCACCAAAACGAAGCCTTCCTAGTAAATGCCCAGCAAAAGAAAAAACTGGGGCAGGAAAAATAACGGGAAAGGGGAGGAGATAAAGCTCTCTTTCTATGCATGCTCATACTTCAGTTCTCCAAGCTGAAAGACTTTGCCACTGGAACAGAAGTCCGCAAAGTGCACAACATGCAAAAGGCTTTTGGGTAGGTTTTTAAAACCTTTAGCTCTTTAGCTAGACAGTAACCAGAAAATGGCTTTGTTAACATGTAATAATAAAACAATAATAACTAAACAATTATTATTAATAATTAATAATAATCAACTATATTAATAAAAAAAACACAAACTAAGGTATAACAAGGTTACATGAACAAATCTTAGTGACAGAAGCATTGAACCAGTAGGCTATTTACAAGCACAGCAACAGATTTCAACTTAGGGCTGTGGTGAAACAATGAATCCAGCTGGCAATCAATGGGAATTAGAACTTGAGGCCTTGGGATCAGATGGCAATGAAAGTCTGGCATTTTAACTGCTTGGTCACGCTTGCCTCCTGCGCAATTACAGGAATGTTTTTTTTCTTTTCAAATCCTTTAGTCATGCATAATTGCAATACTAACAAAAGGACCAAGTTCACTTTGTAATCTCTCCTCCCTATCACATTATACCACTCTTACCATGAGTTGAGCTTGAAGACTTGGGTAATTTTGCCATGCCATTGTTCTTCAACAAAGAACCAGAAATGTCATCTAGAAGATCACAGAAAGACAAAGATTAAGTTGGTGCCATGCAGGGTTTTCAGTTGATGGTCAGTAGCATTTGGCAATAACCAGATGCAGAGAACTGGTAGACTTACACCGTTCATGCCACAGGCACAAACATGAAATTTTTATAACTGGACTTTAATTACTAAAATGCAATTTCCTGTGTTCCTTGGACCGAAATTGGTTCACCAGGAGGGTCTTTAAAAGATACTAATAAATAATACTATTATAATTGTTTTCATGTGTGAACTAGCATTAACCATTTGTTACATGCCAAACAACCGGATGTTGCATCTCAGACGTCCAGCCTGAAACGAAACCCCTGGCCATGGGTCCAAGTCTATTTTTTTTCTTTTGATCAAGATAATAATCCAACAAGGATAGTGGAATACGATTTACTAAAACAAGCAATACTTATTAATTCTCTATAGATTATTTTTCATTAAGAACTGAATAAGCAATGATTTAACTGCTTTTTATCTATTGCCTGGTGGTGCAATGGTGTAAATTATGGCAGGCATAACTAGCACATGTACCTGGAATGTTTCCTTGATTCCTAAATGGGACTTGAGCTTGCCTAAAAACAATAGACAGTTAATATTACATAACTATAGAGTTGGTCAACCTAATAAACCATGAATTTCCTATGGTAAGCAAATCAAAAATGAAAATCTAATTTGCCTCAAATTGATCAAACCTTGAAAAACTATAGCAAATCACAATATTTCTCTTAAACATGTCCTGTTTTTAAATACAAGTCAACTGGTATTCTTCTTTTAATTTGTTTATGTGTAATTTCTTGGGAAAAATATGGAGTGCCATTGTCATCCAAACACAACTTGGGGCAAACTGCACATGAGCACAGCTCTGAAAACCAAATTTACCAAATACTAAGCTTTATAATGAAAAACAGATTCCCAATGCAAATTTGATCGTTGTAGCGGAGCTCCGCGCGTGAAGCGCGCCTGCGGAGCACCATGGTCAAATAAATCTACCCATCCCAGAAAATTTGGTAATCACATGACCGACCGACCGACCGACCGTCCATCCGCACCACAGGCATACCAATGTTTACTCTCACACTTTCTAGCTACTCTGGGAGCCCAGGAGAAAGCTGATTGCACATCAATGTTGTCATCAATTGACAGCTGTCAAAACAAAGTATCCGCTGACCAGTATCACCTGGCCGTATCGCGGGCTCAGGTGTCGACCCATCGAGGTCGAGTATTTTTTGAAGTTATCCGCTGAAAATTTACTCGTTTTCAAATGATCGCAGGCTCACGTTTACTTTTTTTTAAATTCATATCAAATATGTTGTGTTTATGTTAGTATCGCACCGCACTATTACGATTTTGATTTCAAACTGACCTCAGACGCAAAAATTCAGCCAGTTTTTTTAAAAGACAGGCGGGGAAGACCTTTTCTTACCCTGGTTACGTGTTGGTCACACTCCACGTCCAATTTTTATGCTCCGATTGGTTAAAATTTGACAGGTGAGTTCATGTGTAAAATTTATGCAGCATCTTGAAAGTTGTTTACTTTGACCGCTGAAGCTGACAGAGTTTGAGTCAACTTGTGATGTTTTTAACTGTCTTTTTCCACTGGATGTACAAAATGAAATATAGCTGCTATCAAGAGTGTTCTCTTATTCATGGCTGGTTTGTTTATTGGGTTTTTGGTTGAGAAGTGCATCACTTGTCAAAGCCGATAATCCGATTTCGGATGGCATCGTTTTTGTTTTTCACCTTGCTGGATGTGTACGAGAATTATAAAGGCTCAAGCGATCCTTGCCTTACTTGATAGCTTTCAGGAGCTGCATCTCGAAATATGGTAAGCTTAAGTAATTATTGTATTTAAATATAATTTCATGAAGTCCAGCGGCGCAGTTTATGAAGCTAGTTTATGCACGTTTGTATTAAGATTTGACTGAGACACCGATCTTAAAAAGCCTTTAGTCGATATTAATTCACCGTAAATAGAAAGAAAAAACTTTCCGAAGAATATTTACTTATAATTTTGGCTGTAGAAAGAAAGCTTTGAGCGATTTTCTTGTCGTGAGTCATCTTTGAAAACAGCAAACACCGGGAAACCGGCGGCTTAAAACATTATGGGTTTCTGCATAAACTTAATCTTTAAGCTTACTAGTAAAGACTTGAGGATTCTTAGAGACACTTAAATACTCATTTGTTTTCGTGAATGAAAATTGTTGTCTCTGTAAATGTTCTACCGAATGATATTTCTTTATTGATTGTTGGTAGTCTCAAAAGTGTGATTTTCATCACTTTGCCGTTTGTTTTCAGCCGTTCATAAACATCGCTTTCAGGAGTACTCAAAATGCCAAGCGTCTCAAACGCTTTTTAAGATTACACATCGTTATAAAACCATTAATAAAAAATAGACTCAATAAATTCTTTGTCACGTTGAAGGGTAACTCTTTTAAAATTTCTTCGCAAATTTGGCGCTTGCCAAAAGTTAGAACCGGATGGCTGTATAGGTGATTTTGGAAATTTTTTGAACGGTTTCGCTAACTAAAAGTCCACGCGTGCTTCGATGGTCCTGAATATTGAATGAATGAAATTTGTCTTGAAAGTTTGTGAAATACTGCATTTTGTACGAGGTCTGTATGATAAAAAGAGCGCCTCATAGTACTCTTTCTCCTCAGATGTGGTCTATAAAAAATAATAAAAGATTGGTTTGCACCCACCCAGATTTACATGCAAGAATTTGAAAACTTGTCGAACGAAAAAATTCGGTCTGATTTGTTTTCCAAGACTTTGTTTTCCACGCCTTATCTACTGTGATCAAGAGCCATTATTGCTCTTAAATGTGACCGAAGACTATTTTTTGGGTGTACATATAGCGCTATATCAACTCGATACAAGATTTGTTTCACTCCAAAATCACTTAGCTTTTCTCTCAAAAGTCACATGAATGTGCCCTTAAGTTACCTGATTTGTGGAATAAAAAATTATTGTTTGATTAAGTTACAAAAATATCAATGGGAGCTTCGCTTTTAGCTGTGGCTAAATCTATATATATTAGCACGTAAAGTAGCAAGATGGTAAAATAACATGAAAGAACATGCACACAGGTAACTAGGTATAGTAAAAAAACAAAATGACATTGTTTTTTTTCTAATATTCACAAAACAGTAAGTTATTGGACAGTATTAATAATAAGCTCATGATTTTAAAATTCAATGAAACGTTTCGAAGTTTTATGTTTACAAATGGTTACCTTGGATCCAGAGGGTTTCTTTTGCCTTTCTTCAGGCTAGAAATAGGGGAACTCATTTTTTTACGACTCTATCATCTTCTCACAATTTTCTTCATGTCCTTTAGCACGCAATTTCGTTGTAAAGACATTCTGTTTAGAAGAAAAACACAAAAACAAAATTCCAAAATGTCCGCCAAATTTACACCAAAGACGAACCACCTCAAAGGCCTGGGGACTAGAAGCGTTGGTAGTTTCCAGGGGTTATCGGTTGTGATAGTAAACATGGAGGATGAATGCGTAAAAGCTGCGTGCTGAGTTGCCGGCGGGATAAAATGTGAATTGCAACGAAATAGGCCCTTCCTCGTGGTCAGCGATTCTTGAAAACCTAATAATGTCGCTGAAAAAGGAAGCTGGAGCAGGAAATATTTTGCTAACGCCGCTACTTGGGATGAAGTCGCGAAAGAGTGAGAAGGATAGCTCAAGCGCGCTGCACTCTTCGTTGCCTTCAGTGTGTATTCTAACTTCGCGATCGTCAAAACATCTGATGGGATTAGAGAGGGAAAGTGTCGAAAATGCTACAGTATCTCTTCATCAGGTGATTGAACTTTAAGTAATTTAACCAAATTAGACGCATTAAGTTAACGCGACTAAATAGCTCATAAACTCGGTTAATTTCATGTGACTATCTGGTTATTTCACGCGTTCTAGACTCAAAGCTCAATAACAGAAAAAGCACATGACATCATTTCACATTAGACAGGAGGTTTTCATTCCTCTTGAAAAACGTTAGGCCGGTTTATACTGTCATTGTTTTATTTTCGAACTAACCATATTTTAAATATTGTGTTGTTTATCTATATAAATAGGGAAAATTCGCCCGCGCGCGCGGGTGCAAAATAATGTTATTTGTCCAATAACTGTAGGTTTTAAGTTTGAAATTATTATACCCATGAATACAAAAAATGAAAAAATTATCATGTTTCTAAGCTTTAATGTGGTGACGTTGCACTGAATATTTATAACTTTTCAGACCTTTTCACTTGAACAATAGCCGTTGGTAATTCCAACATTTAGTTCCTTTATGGGTGATGTCTCAATAAATAATTTAAGAGTATTTGCACAAAAGAGAGCTGTCATTAATATTCAAATGCTTCTAGGGCTACATTTGTTTTACCCAAAAATAAACAAGCCCATTCTTTGCTGCAATGGCCTTTTTTCGGTTGGCCCAAATTAGTCAGTTAATCCAGATTTCCATGGATTGTTTAGCTACATTCCATATTTGCAAATAGTTTTTAACCAATCATTTTTGCATCTTATTGTACTGGGGAAATATTTGTGCAAACGAATCACCTACATTATTTTCTTGTGACCCTGAAGATTTCAGTTTCCATTTTATTTTTGCTTTGCAGTAAAAAAAAGAAACACTCTTCATAGAAAAGCACAAAAAGTTGAGGTTTCAGGACATGTGATATTGATCCATATATTTTTCTGAAGGCTTGTTTTCACAAATAACTGAGTCAGAGTCTGAGTCATATATAATAAGAGATTAGATCATTATGTTCTAGTGAAAACAGCTGTCTGATTCCACTTACAACTCTGCTACGTACCATTTTAAGACTAGGCTTTCAAGTGGTGAGCAGAAGCAGAAGAACTAAACCAACCACAAAGGGTGTAAACAACCATTGGGATTAGTTTTTCTGTTTCAGAAAAAAAATTTGTAACTATTGATGTTTACCTTATAACATTAAATTATTTGTTTACTCTGCTGTCGTTAGCAATGCCAATGTAATACTGAAGCTTGAATATGTAACCACATTCTCCTTCCCCCTCTGAAAAGTCATCCTCTTTGTCATATCTGTCACAAAGTTGCCATATATCAAGCATTAGACACAGTGTTTCATCACCAGATGAAACACCAAGAAGAGTTAGAAATACAACATGTGCGCAGCAGAGTATTTTTGACGAACTTCAAGGTGCTTCATCTGTTGATGAAACACTGTGTCGAATGCTTGATATCACTTCTCAAACAAAATGATTTTAGAAGGAGAAATTAAGGATGCAGAAATGAGCAGTTTTTCGTCTGATTTCCAAACACTCATTAGTCATTAAATTTCTTTGTATTTTCTTTATGAACTGTTGATGAGTTTGAGAATGTTACTTGCGTGCTGTTCTTATTCCAGCTAAGGAAGAAAGAAGCCACACCAAAGCCTGTTTATTTGTACCACTTTGTAATTCCTCAGTTGGATAATAATTAATTAAGCTATTACCTACAATGGCTACTCAGATTCGATTTGCATGGCCTTATTAAGCTTAAGTTGACCCTGATTACCTCTGAATATAAATATGAACATGCTTCTAGCACTGCAAATGTCTTGAGAAAGGGATGGGTTGTCTTGCCTTATCTTATGGTGTGTTCTTTTGTGATAATTACTGTTCTTACCAACATTGAAGTTATTCAATCTGCTTCTAAATTGAAGACAAATAACTTTTTGTGTAACAGGCAGCAAGAGATGGAAAGCGTGACCTTGTTGAGAGAAGACTGGAAAAGTTAGGAAAGGGAAGCAAGAAAATCAACAAGAAAGACCAGGACAACACAACTGCATTGCATTATGCTGTGCGTTACAATCACCTTCACATTGTCAAGCTGTTACTGGAATCTGGTGCAGGTATGCCTATATAGCACACTGTACATGTAATACAAAGTACTTAATGTGATGTGTGAAGTGTGATATGTTTAAGTGTTTTCCTTGCCGTTATAATTATATTTCATGATTAAGAACCGTTAAGGAAGTTGAAAATTAAACTAGATTAAAATAACTTTAACCTGTTCAAGTTCCTTTTTTAAACTTATAGACATTGAAGCAAAAGGAGAAGATGATGCCACGCCCCTTCACTATGCTGCTAGATTTCGTCCAGTCCCAAGAACCTATAATGGCTCTGCACGCCCAACACCTCAAGTGACCCCAAGTCCTAGCATGGAAAACATGAGTGATGTTGGCTTGACTCTAAAGAAGGATGATAAGAAAAAAGATGGGGGATCAGGCAGTTTTGGGAAGGGGGCAAAAAGTCGCCTTCTAGGCTCATCATTAGGAACTAAACTATTCAGCAAGGATTTCTTATCATTGGAGAAAAGAAATTCTAATTCTTTCATACCAAAAGAGCAGGCATCTAATGTTGGGGAGACTATGATATTGTACCTTTTGTCAAGAAAAGCTAATGTAAATGCCAAGGACAGTTATGGTTCAACTCCGCTGCATTATGCTGTTGCAAAGGGAAACCCTGATGCTGTTCAAGAACTGTTGACTGATCCATGTATTGATATTGAGGTAATATAAAAAAAAGATCTTTTACACTGCAACTACTGTAACTGGGACCAATTAGGCAAACGTAACCAGTCTGATTACAGGAAAATAACAGTACATTCCAAGAAATTTAGTTGCAGGCCAATCAGCAGCTCTTAAAAAACAATCAGTCACTCAAAGCAGAAAGTTTAATATTGATAGCAAACTTTTTTCAGGAATGCAAAATATTTCACCAGACAATGTTTTTCTGTTCAAAACTTTGCATACAACACCCAGAAAACATATTTCTTTGACACAAGCTGTTATTTTGTCGTCTACCAGTAATTTCTTCAGCACTATTGCTGTGATTTGCAATAACATGCGACCACAAGTCAAAAATTATTGTTTAGATTTTTCGCCTCCATCACTCTTTCTAACAGACCTCTGGGGAAACACTTGCTTTCTTCAGCGGGTTTAAAAGGTCATGTCTGTAGGTTGTAATTGGTTGAATTCACTCCAATTTTTTTTTTCATTTCGTGGTAGTAATATAATGACTGGCAACTAACTTTCTTGAAATGTACAGTCGACTCCCAATAACTCGAACCTTCGAGGGAAATCGAAAAAAGTTCAAGTTATCGGGAGTTTGAGTTATCAGCAGCGCAAAGAAAATAGCCGAGAGTAAGGAAATTACAGTTTTTACTGCACAGTGAACATTTTAATCACATTTAATTGTAGAAATGTCCTCAAATCTCAAGTGAAAATTAAAACTTAAGATACTTCTAGATTATAAATCAGAACGTAACGAAACAAAACATAGCCTAAATAGATCCTGTGTTTTACTGTTTTGAGAAGTAAAGCTGCTTCACATTAGCCTGTGACAATCAACATCAACCTCCATTAGTAAACTATACTCCTACAACACGTTAATAGGAAATCCCAAATTCAATGTTTCGAACGCCAGCAGACGGCTTTTTTCGGCCTACTTTTTAAGGGCTCAAAACATGGTTCGAGTTGTCGAGGGTAAAATTATATAGAAAATGACGTGAGGGGAAACGAAAATTGGTTCGAGTTAGCGGGAGTTCAATTTATCGAGGGTTCGAGTTACCGAGGGTAAATTACAGTAAATGTAGGACGGAAATCCAGAGGAAATCGATTTTGGTTCGAGTTAGCACGAGGTTCAAGTTAGCGAGGGTTCGAGTTATCGGGAGTTGACTGTATTGTTATTTTCCTGTAATCCGATTGGTCAACTTTTTCCAGGTGGCCCTGGTTATAGTAGTCGCACTTGTAAAATGACATCTATAAACAGTACATTTAAAGATAAAGAAGCTTGAGGCAGAGAAATGTGCTTTGAGAATAATTTACAATTATTGAATTTGGCTTTCACACCATTGAAGAATTATACAGTTTGAGGAGGGTATTATCTCCGCACCATCCAATCGGAGTTCTACATAATTCTTCAATTAATCATGCAATAGCTGAATTTAATACTAATTGTTTAGGTTTTATTCAAAACAGATCGCTGATTCAGCATTTTCAACTTCACATGGCTTTGAACCGTACCAAAGCAGCTAACTTGCCAGGTTGCTGTCTTGCATGACATTAATCGCCTTTAACGTTAGTGTACTGCCATGAAAAATAGTATAACATGAGCATTTTCCAAATTTGGCGAGCTCCATTCGACCAATGGTTGAGTTACATAAATTATATGGTGTTTAAATATTTCAGGCCAAGGATAAAACACAGATGACTCCTTTGCATGTGGCATCCAGCCAGGGTTCTTTTTCTGTTGCAAAATGCCTCATTGATGCTGGAGCTAACTTAAGAAGCTTAGATGAGGAACAAATGACACCTATGCATTTTGCTTGTATGGAAGGAAGTCTTGAAGTCGCCAAGCTGTTGTTTGAAACAGGTGTGTAGCTAAGGAAGTCGGGGTGTTGCTTTAGAATCCACCAAGGAGAAAGAGGGCAGTTTATACCAAGGGAAAATCAATTTGCACATTTCTGTAATAAGAATTTTCTTTGGCACTCTTTCCCACTCCAAAACATAAAGATTGTACTCTAGAATCAGCATTCCCTGCATGAAGAGGCCTCTTTTCCGTGGTTTTTGGTGGGCAGTAGGAAGCAGTGTTCTCACCAGGATTTTGCCTTGGGGAGTCCCAGGGCCCCCTCTTCTGAGAAATAGGGGCCCTGTAAGAACATTAGGGGGACAAAGTTACAAAAAACACGCGGTACGAAGAACCTGAGCCCGCACTCCAAATTGTCTGTTACATGAAGTACCTACCTGATCCAATATGGCGGAAGAGGTGTTTACGATTCGGAGGAGGAGTTTACGATGTAGTGGGACGTGCGTGGGACCAATGAAAGTAAAGGCAACAAAATTAAAGACTTTGACTCATTTGATACCATGTTTTTTTATTTATTCAAACAAACACAATGCTTTAGTGTTAGGGTGACCATTAAAACTACTTAAGTCCGTTCGACTCGTAGCTTGCCCTTGCGCCCTAACGGGCGCATCTTCTTGGTTTTAATGCGCCATTTCAGTTTTTTCTTGCGGGAATCCCGCAAGGCCGCGGCCTGGTGAGAACACTGAGGAAGAGTCTCTTGTCCTACTGCCCGCAGAAGACACGAAGATACCAAGATTGAGCTATAGGCAATTTACAAGGGGTGGTCACTTGCAAGAGTCTAACTGTAGGGGGTCTCCTCCTGGAACAGGTGCCACCATTCCTATGGTTAACTACAGGTAACAACTAACTACAGTTTCATAGTTATGATATGTGCAGTTGTTCCATATTGTCACAGGCACCACTAAGGAATGGCGTAACTGACTGGTAAACAAATTTTATAAGGGAATACTAAGAAGGAGGCTTTTGACTAGGCAATTGAACATAATACAGATCATAGATATCTCCATATTTTGCAGAATACCAGTTGTATTAAAAAGCCACAGGTCATCTCAGGGGAAGGGGGGCTGTGCACCCCCTTCACCCTCCCCTTAGATCTGCTCCTGTACTCTGAGTAGCATTGTTTGCTGTGTATCAGTTAAGCTTGTCTGGCAAGCACAAAATTGAAAATGAGCAGTGAAATCACAAGAAACATACAACACTGTACTATTTTCGTTGTTTCCGCCCCACTCTTTATGCGGCTTGGCCACTCACTCCTGCTTCCCTCCACTGCCCCTTCTCCAATAAAACCACCAGCTATGCGTGCTATAGCATTGTATATACAGTGAACATATAGAGATCAGTAGACCATGTAGTGGGCGATTGCTTATAAGAGGTGAAGGGAAAATAGTAAAAAAAAAACTGTCAGCATAAAGTTTTCACAAACACTTACAAGAGGTGGTATTTTACAAGAAATTTTAACCATAGGGCTTTGACTTGGAAGATTTTAGTGTTTTGGACAGGTTGTCTGCTCTATTAATTTCTTTTTATAATTAAAATTCATTATTATTATCATCATCACCATCTTTGTCATCATCATCATTATTTTCGTTATTATAATCATTATCATTATTATTATGATGATTATTGTTATCATCATTATTATTGTTACTATTACCATTATCATTATTATTAATATCATCATCATCATTATCATTTGATTACCATTAAAATTATCATTATTATTATTATTCTGTACTTAGCTGAAGAGCAAGGTGGATGGTCCATAGTGTCCAAAATGGTTACAGACCAAGATCGAGAAGAACAAACACCCCTTCACCTTGCAGTTGAGGATGGTGATATTAACCTGGCAAAGCTCTGTCTGGACAAAGGAGCGAACGTTAATGCACACAAGGTTAACATGAGCACTCCATTGCATCTGGCGGCCAATGGCGGAGATTTGGACATTGTCAAGATGTTAATAGAACATGATGCCAATATAGAAGCAAAGAATGCCAGTCAAGAAACACCACTGCACAGAGCAGCTCAGTTTAACAGGGTAGAGATTGTTGACTATCTCCTAAGCAGGTAAGCCATTAGCCGTGTTCACTCTAGAAGACTGACAAGTTGTCTCAGATGGCAGCCTGTTAAAAGTTGCAGACACTCTAAACCGTCTGAAAGGCGGACTACTGTGAGCTGCTTCAGCTTATATGCCCTGGGGTTATACATCTTCGTAAGGGTTTTAGGAGGGTTTATAAACGGAGGGGTTTATAACCGCAATGGAAAAAGCACTTTAAAACAAGCTTTAGCGGTGCTGATCAAAATGCGTTTTACATTTACAGGGCCGGGTTGTAACTCGTTCAAAGCTGGGTTAAGGTACCCAGAGTTAGTGCGAAATTTGAATTCAGAGGTGAAAGCTTAAAAAGTAAATTCAATATAAAACTTTTTGTATACAATTTGATGATTGGATGCTCTAAGAGGAATAGAGAATATTATCCGAGAAAATCTTCAACAACCACGGTTAGCGCTAATCGGCCTTCGAACATCTGGACCCTGCTTTTTAATTTTAAAAGCATTTAAAAACGTGAGAATGAATCGAACTCATCTCAATACAAGCTGGTATAGTCGGATGTGTTTCCTGTTTACAAGTAGATGGGCCTATAACTGAAACGGAAGGAAAACATGTTGCACGTGCAGCGTCGTCCGATTTGTTCGTCTATAAAGATGACTGATTTTTCCTGGTCAATTTGTTTGTATAGACAGACAAGTCGTCTAAAGTCCGATGTAAATTCACGCCTGGCGAACAACTAGGGCGGACGACTTGTCCGTGTGCAGAAGATTTTTCCGTCTACTGGTGTGAAAACTACCATTGCTTTTTTCTTTCCTATCTCACTTGCCTACTTGGTACCCAGGTAGCACACCCTCGTGGGTTTTCGTGTACCACGCATTATCCAAGTGGAAATTGGAAATGTTAAGTTGCTTATGTTACCATTCAACCAAAACTTCGAAACTTTTGGACGGAAGGTTAGTGGTAAGATCATTTTCCGGAAACTCCAACCGAAAATCGAGGAATGTGTTTAAAGGCAGTCCTTTTATCCCGGTTTGTACGAGCTGAAAAGCCTCACAGAAGGCCATGCACTGACCAACTATTTTAATCTTTGCTCCTTGTGCTAATCCTTTCATTTTTAGAGGTGCCTACATTGAGTGTCGAGATAAGGACAAAGACAGTCCTTTGCTTATAGCAGCATCTAAGAATCACCTAGAGACAGTCAAAAGCCTTTTGGCTCACGGTGCTGATATCAGCGCAAAGGATATTGATGATGCCACACCCATATATCGAGCCGCAGCTGAAGGTTGCATTGAGACTCTTGAGGTATGCATACACTAGGTATTTACTATTAGTGTTCACCAAATCAGTGGATAGCAATTTTTGCGCGTTCTGATTGGCTCCCGTAACTCCCGTAAATGTTTTGGGACGGATTCAAAATGGCTTCTCGTTTCGCAACAGTTTCGAAGGATGAAATTTTAGCGGTAAATGAAGCAGCTGCACCAACAAATACCAAGAAACAGACAAAATTTGGCTTGTCGGTGTTTACTGGTCGTTATAATTTTTTTTTTTTTGCAACAAAATCATAAAAAATGATCGCCGAGTCAATTGAAACGTAAAGAAACTCTAACTATTAAAAAGTGACGTCTTTTATTTACAAAAAGTTCCTTTTTGATTTTTATCCAACTGATTCGGTAAAGACTAAAACAACTATTCCCCTCAGTGTCGGTTCATAGCGCTAAATATACCACCACCAATATTCACCTCCCCGTCGGGGGATAGTTGTACACTAATTTATTCTGTTTGGTCGGAATACAATTCAAGAAGGCGCCTAGAAAAGCAAAGTGGCCCCACGAGGCCTAGACTACGAGTCGTCCCTCATTTTCCCTCAGGGATAGGGGAGCAAGTGACACACGAGCGCGCGTGAAAATTCGGCACCCCACGCGAGAAAGGCCATTTTGCTCTCTCTCTCTCTCTCTCTAATCGCCGCGTCTCGCCTTTCTCGCGTGGGGTGAATTCACGCGCGCTCGCGTTTCGTTCGCTCTATCGTAGTCTACAAAAACCCCAGACTTAATGGAGCTGTGTCACGAAATTTAACAAAACTGCCGTGTCTTACGGACATTACGCAGCACCATAGACCCCGCTAATTCTTTTTCTCACCTCTTTATCTCGCTCGACTTCTTTTTTCTTTTGTCCCTCAGTTTCTTCTTAAATCTGGCAAAGGCAAGTCACTTGTCGAGGAGTATGACAAGTATGAGAACACTCCACTACATGTTGCAGCCAAAAAAGGATATGTTAGAATTGTCCAAGTAAGTTCTTATAGCAGGGTGTCAGTGGAAGCCCTAACAGGCCCAAAACACCCCGGAACACCCCGGATCATCCCGGAATACTGCGGAACACCCCCCTGACGGGCCAGACCGCCCCGAACACCCTTAATTGCAAAAATTAGGTAAAAAAATTATAAGACCCCCCAAAGAAATCTAAAAAATCATGTTCGGGGGAGGTTTCGGAAGTGTTCCCGGGTGTTCTGGGGGGTTCCGGGCCTGTTCCTGGTTTTACAGACACCCCTAATAGCTTGCGTGGCAGGCGCCGGTTAGTTTTTAAGGTTATTTTTAATTTTAGAATTTGTTCATGCTTAGCGTGCGTATATCGAGTTATGGATGCACGCAGGAAGTTTGGAGCGCACGAAAGATACGTAAGAGTTGCTTGAGGCACAGCCGAGAGCAACTCTAGTTTCTTGAGTGCTCTCCAAACTTCCCAAGTGCATCCATAACTCGATATGCGCACTGCTAAAAGCATGAGCAAATTCTTTTATAACATAGCTGCCAAAATTGCTTGCTTTTTGATTAACTACAAAATTCACGTAACGCGCGACACAGAAAAACAAACTCTTCTGTTGGCTGGTTCCAAACACACCACAATCGTCGACTTTGAAAGAAAATTCTTTCTTAAAACTGAGAGAGAAAATTTGCTTATTTATTCGTTAACGATCAATGGAAACTAAGCAGAAACGAAGGTAAAAGAGTCTTAAAATTCCACCTAAGGTAAAGATACTCACATGTTCGTAAGAATTCATGGAGTATGGTTTGGATTCGCTGAAAAGATGTTTATGTTTTGCTCGGCGAAATCCAGAAAACTTGTTTTTACTGTTAAATAGCCACTTTGAGGTTGCACGGGAGGCCGGGTCGAGATTGTTTCAAAGTGCATTGCGGGACTGTTTTAAGAAAGGCATTATCAACATGGCGGCAATTCGTCCCACAATGCACTTTGACAACCATCTCGATCCAGTCTCCAGCGCAACCTCAAAGTGGTTAATAGAGCTCGCGTCCTCGATATTGCTCCTTTTCGCTTAAAAAAAGAAACGGCTCCTGCTATGCAGGTAAAGTTCCAACTACTGCATAAGGCTTTTTTCCTTTAGTTGGGGACAAGGAAGGTAATGCTTTTTTTCCGACGTCAGGGCCGTACCAAAATCATCTTCAAAAGCTAGGAACTTATAATTGCGATCGGCAATGGAGGCCAAACAGACATACCTGCAACCCTTATTACTTTTACAAACGGTAAGCCTCAGAATAAGATTTCAGATTACGTGTTCGCCGAAGAGCGTAAGGTGAAGACTGTAGGTGTGGTAAGGTGTACATGTACGTAGACTCATGGAGTGCTAGGCCAGTTGCTCTTCCAGTGGCGCTTGGTTCTAAGTGGTTCATTTTTTGACTTTCTTTTAGCTTCTCCTGGACAATGGTTGTTGCATTGACTGTAAAAACGATGGATCCCTAACGCCACTCCACTTGGCGGCCAAATTTGGGCGGATAAGGTAACACTGGCAGTTGGCGTCATATTCAGTCTAGAAATTTAACGAGAAAGCATTCTCCACTCAGCTTCCTTGTGTTTGCTTTAGCCTTACTGTTAGACGGAATGTGGCGGGCCTCATAAATCGGATCCGTGCCTAAAGAGGCTCACGGATCATAAGTTCTAAAAATTTGATCTTGGTTCTCCTAGTAACAAATTACAGGCTTCTCAGGGCAAAGCGCTAAATTTAGTAGTAGATACGAAACACAGCCTAAAGGCCCCACTCTCTAGTCTGATTCCATTCCCTTGTTTCCGCGTAAGAGATCATTAAAACGGAGAGGCTATACACTTCTTCGCCGGCTATCCCAACGGGTTGTTTGAACCAAATATGGTGGCCCGTTAAAGTAAGCGACCAAGCTCGACGTTTTTAGAGGAAAATAGAGGACATTAGTGGGCTTAAGATGCACCTTTTCTGTCTACTGGTATAAGCTGACAAAACTGTTTGCCAGGTAGTTATAGAAAAGGTGACCATGATTTCTTAGCTCGACGACTTTACAGGAAAATAGAGGACATTAGTGACCTTAAGATACACCGTTTCTTTCCACGAGTACGGACAGACGAACATGTTTGCCACGTTAAACGTAGTTGTAAAACAGGTGACCATGATTTCCCAGAAGTAATGGTGGCATCAACCATTTTACCCGGTAGCCTACCCGTTTCTCCGCGGGGTAAGATGCTATCTACCCGTATTTACGGCTGCGCGTACAGGTTATTTACCCGTACCGGTACCCGTGCCCGCACACGGAAACGCTTCTGTATCTTATGGTCTCTATTAAACAGTCTTGCTGGTCTCATAATTATATGTTACCTTGTGGCCATTTTACAGAACAGTTTGTGCTCTTCTGAAGAGGGATATGTCCATAATAAATGACGAAGATGATGCTTCCAACACTCCGCTACATGTAGCTGCACTAAATGGCAATGATAAAGTCGCTAAAGAATTGCTTGATAGAGGAGGCGCTATCGATGCAAGGTGAGAGAAAGATCATAACTTTATCAGGGAGGTTAATTCTTTTTTGCTACGAACGAAGAATGCTCTTTCACTGAATAACTCCACCGAAAGCAGCCTTAAATTTAAAATTATTTCTTAACGGAAAAGCATATTGTGTTTTTTTAAGCCCAGAGCCGAAGGTACAAGTGGTAAAGTTTTCGGAAAGTTTCTATCCTAGCCGTCCAATCCGTAATATTATTATCGAACTAAGTAGAGTAACTGTTAACATAAAAGCATAAAAGGAACAGTGATAGAAATCTAGTAGCCTGCGGAGCTTGAAGTTTGTTTGGCGAGAGGGAAAAAAAAGCTGCGAAAACACGCACAAAGCTTGGCCGCTCACTTGCGCGCTCGACAAACAAAACTGCCAGCTACGCAGCAAATCTAGTCGTTATTTTGCCAATAAACACTATTCACTTTGATTATTAAAGATCGTTTGCCAGGCAGTTTCCTTGACCGGATTTTTCCCAAGGTCATACAAGCTGTGCAATCGCTTTCACTAAATATCCGAAGCTATAAATCGACATCCTACGAAAGTTCGTAGTCAATACTTCTAACGGATCTTTGTGCACAGGAATGCCAACTTATGGACGCCGCTGGATTGTGCGGCAGCAAAGGGCTGGGTGGATGCAGCCACTGTTCTTCTTGATGCTGACTGTCCTGTGGATCCTACTGATAAAGCAAAGGTAAAAGGAACATGCAACCTCGTTCCCAGGGTTTTCTCCTACCTGCCGGAGAGAACTCTGGGAACGAGGTTGAAGGAACACGGTGGCGAAAACTCTTGTTGAATAAGGTTACTTGCAAAGGGCAACGCCCTTATAACTAATGGAGAATAAAAAGGAAATGATGAAACTTCGATTGTGAGTCTTGAATCGCGGCACGTTTGTTAAACGCAACAAAAATCAGCTTTGTGTTTACTAAGCTGGCCCGGTTAGCTGGGATCCCGGTATCGAAATGGCGTAATACCGCGATGAAAGTCACCCTGCTCGGCAAATCTGGCCAGCCTGTCCCTTAAGTCTTCCTTTTTTTTTCAGACTACCCCACTTCACCTTGCTGCACGTGAAGGCCACGTGGAGATGGTGAAACTACTTTTGTCAAGGAAAGCTAACATTACATTGACGGACAGTGCTGGAAGAAATTGTCTCGATATGGCCGTTGAAAATAATCACAAGTAAGTATTTAAATACAGGCTAAGAAAAATTCAAGAAGCAAATGCCTCAAGGATTTGTAAACACTTTGAAACAGCGACCTTTAGATCCAAAAGTTATGGCCCAGCGCCTTTGCTTCGCATTTCTTAAGGTGATTCCCTAGTAAAAGAACCTAACATAGATTGTAGATAAAACTTGGTACACTGATGTAACAAGTCAAGAAGATGATAAAAAAAGTAATAAAAAGTGGGGGTCACCGTGCTCGTTTTGACGTCACAATGCTGACAAATACGGCTATTTTGGACCCTTTGACAAAAACCGCGCGCAGCCCAAAACTAGACAAAAAGGAAAGATCTTTTCAATGATGCATGTGGTATCGCACAGAATTTGACTTAAATGTATTGTTTATCCACTCACGTACCATAAAAATGCCTTTTAATGCCCTTGTTTTTACTTTACACTCCAAAGTAGAATTAAATTGGACACGCGCTATTCGACACGTGATAGCTCAATCCGTACAATTTAGTAAAACTGCCAAAAAACTGAACATAGATTTGTGCCAATTTTTTTCTCACCGAAAGGAAGCACTGTCTTTATTAAATTCATGAAATAAAAAATGGGGTCACCGTACTCGTTTTTGCGGTAGAGCTGCAGAAAGTGCGCACCAAATGCTTTTCCTTGATTTTTGAGAGAGGACTGGGGCGAGTTTCAAAATAGAATGTATGTGAAAGGGGGAAGAAAGTAGTAAAAAATCCGTTTTTACAGAATTTACATCGAGATATCACATGTAGGACACAATGTGATAAAGAAAGCGTTTAAATTAAAATCAAAGTGAATAAGCACAAATTAAACATCCACTATCGAGGTTCTCCGTGAGGAAGTCGAACTCAGCAACACGCGTACTGCTTACGTTATGCACATTCCCACCACATTGAGTCTCACCTCGGCAAGAAACAACCGCAAGCAAAAATTGCAATAACGTTTCTCTTCGGTCAACTTCATTTTAATAATGTTACTTCACATGCTCTTTTTTACGGAGGCCATCTTGTTATGCGCAGTAAGAGATGCGCATTGCAAAACCAGGGAATCACCTTAAATTTTTTCTATTTATTTATTTTGTTGTTGTTGCTGTTGTTGTTTGTTTACTTCGTGTTAGATATAGTTTGTTTATGGTAGTCCCGAGTTCATCTTGTCGTTTTCCTGGTACTCACGCCAACTCTGATTAAGAGAAAGTACTCTGAAGATGAGGTGAACTGCGGAAATACAAATTTCAATGAAGACATGATCATCGCAATTGTAATTGCAATTTTAACTATTGCAATTTATCGTAAATCCTCTATTATTTTTTTCAAGCATTTTTGAGGGGAGGCGTAAAAGAGGGGGGGGGTGGGGGGGGGCTTATTTAGTTTAGCGAAACGTATCGACGGGAGCAAGATTTCTCGAGGACAGACTTGTGGCAGTTCTCGGGTGTTATACTGCCTTTTCTAACAATAAGAAAATGGTAACAACTCTCCACAGAGAACTAGAGCGTAAAGTTGGAAAAGTTGGGGGTCATGCGGCGGAAGACCAAAAATAATATGGATTTCCAGCCTCAATAAACCATAACTGAGCAGTCCACGTTAATTTTTTGTGAAGTATAACGATGGAGGAGACGGGGAGGGAGGAGGGGGGGGGGCTTATTAACTTTCCTCCGCTGAAAAGGGGGGCTTAATAGAGGATTTACGGTAACCCGAAAAACAAGATTAACTCAACAATTTGGCCTGCTCCCAGTGTATGGGTCTTCATAGCTCAATTGGTAGAGCACTACAGCGCTATCGTAGAGGCCATGGGTTCGAAACTCGTTGAAGTCCCGATTTTTTTTTCCGGGTTAATTTGAAATTGCTTGGATTACAATTACCACTGCGATAATCAGACCTTCATTTAAAGAAAGTACTCTGGGACGGGGCGTACACTGTCCGTCCCTTAGTCGAAAAGAGTAGAGGATCTATTTCCGTTTGTAGATGTGAAACGATTTAAAGCAGTTATCACTCTCTCATAGAAAGCTCATGTAAACCATAGTGATATAACGTCCTTTTTTTTCCAAAGGGAAGTAGCACTTGTTATTATTCAACACAAGGATTGGAGACAAGCTATGCGAAACAAGACCAAAGAAGGAAACTTTATTTACACACCAATGAGAAAGCTTATCAAAAAACTACCCGGTGAGTGTTCCATTGTGGCAGCTTTTGCCTGCATCCTTTTCAGTTTTACCACTCAAAAATATCGTGATATGTATTATAATTCCTATTCCTTTTGACTTAATTAATGGTTTTGAAGCCTGGATTGCATCCTTAAAGCCCCGTGCAAACGGACGCAACATTGTTGGATGTTAAGTGTTACGTCCGTTTGCACGCCCTGTTGCATGTTGTTGCGTGTTGTTGCGCAAAGTTTGAAACCGGTCAAACTTTTCAGCCAACAACTCCCAACATTTCTTTTGTTCCGTGATCGCCGAAGCGTAGCGCAACAATGTTGGATGCGTTTGCACAGTTCCTCCAACATTGTTGGGGCCACGCACGCTCATTACGCATGGATTACAAAGACTTACGGGTTCTATTCTTCCCACGATGCACTGCAGGCCTCAAACTTGTTGGGAGTTGTTTCATCCGTTTGCACACCAACGCCAACACGCACGCAACAACTCCCAACATTGTTGGCGCAACAACGTTGGGAGTTGTTGCGCCCCGTTTACACGTAGCCTAAGATTTTCAAGAAACAGTTAATCGCAATGACTCTGCACTTCATCTGATATGCGCACTAATGTGTTTTGTAGAAACCTCGGTTTTCGTGTTGGAAGAAACCGCATCAAGAGCTCCGCGTTATGCTGGCATTTTTCGATTGATTTCGACCGTCTATTTTCTTCCAAGTTAATCTGAACTAAGCGTTCTCGAAAAGCTTCTTTTTCTATCCGCACACAATAAGAAGCTAATTTCCGTCTTCAAAAACAGGTTCTTATTATATCTGTTTCTGAAATGCTTCGCTTAATCCGTTTGACCATTTTAGTGTGGGTATCAGCTGGGCCAGAACGCATAAAAATTGAATAAGTGTGTCACATGAACGGGTGAATTTTAAAATAGAATCACAAGTTGCGTCGTGATTCAAGATTGCGCCCACAGCTTTATACATAATAAAATCAAGGATCAAGCGTCATTTTCGTAGCCTTGCCTACAAGTCGGGTTTTGAGCGAAAAGGTTTCGATTCCTTACTGATGCACAGCATCAAGCTCTTTCCCGGTTTTATCTTCTCGTATCGTAGAGGTTGCAGAGAAAGTCTTCAATCGCTGCGTCAAGTCGAATGGGTACCCTGTAGACCATCCACAGTACGCTATCACCCTTAGCTATGAGTTCCTGGATGACGTCAGTCTTGAGTGGGCAGGATTTATGACGTCAGAGACAGTTGAGCATGAGGAGAGTGGCTTGGATGCTGTCATGTATAAAATCAAGTCAGCCTTACCTGAGAACGCCAGCAAGCAAGTGGAAATAAAAAGCAACCATCCTCTGATGCTTATGGTAAGTGCATCAAAGAATCCGGACTAACGACAATCCATTCCCCTCTCCTCACGTTTCGTCACTAGCGGTGAGGAACGAGGGGATACGGCACTATTCGCAGGCTAACAAAGAAAACCAACTGGTTGCTCAGGGCAGCGGTTCTTTTTTTACGAGAGTTTTTAATTCAAAGTACGTTAGTGTGCTACTGAAATTCCTTTAAGGAGGGAATGCGCAGACATTTGTTGAAATTCCGTTCTTGTATTTTAGTCAGTTGCCATTTTAATTCGACCACCTACAAGCTGTATGTTTGAGTTTTCGATAGAAACTGTCTTGCTGATTCTCAGCACTTTTACGAAAAAAGGATCATAGAGTGGCTGATGTGTTTCTTTCAGGTCACAAAAGAGCGTGTAAAACTACTCAGCCATCCCCTTGTAACGTACCTACTTCGCTATAAGTGGCGTAGCTTTGGCCGTTATGTGTATTACGGCCGGTTAATCCTGTATGGGATATTCCTGTTTTTCCTGACTGGCTACGCTATGCATACAACCAAGAGCATACCGATGACTGTGTGCAAAGAGCGTGAGTGCACGTGCAATGTGACCTTTGATACTGGAACCACAGGGAGCCGAGTGGTGTGGAGAAAGATTGGTCTGCCTGTGATTCTTATAACAACGTCTATTAGTATATTTTTAGAGGTACGTAATCTACATAGTTATAGGAAGTAGAAGAGCAAGACTTTTTGTCTTGATGCCCTTCATGTAAAATGTATTGAATATCGTGTTTTAACATGTCTACAGCTATTTCGAGAAAGGAAAAAATAGTCGGAAAAACTGTGCACGCGACAATCCCGAAAGGTGATATGGGATATCATCATTATACATCTACACTGTTCCTGACACCGTAGCTGTCGAACTTATTTTTGTTGCTTTCCTTTAGCACTCGCAAACATATATTGATGGCCTTTCGTGTCATTCTTCTTTCAATTTCTTTGAAGAACAGTCAACTCAAAATCAGCCACAATACATTTCGGGATTGTCGCGTGTACGTTTTCCTACAACCTTTCTCGAAATAGCTGTATATTACAAGTTAAACCTGGTGAAAAAGGCTGATTTTCGCAACGAGTCTGCCAGTACCTCTCCAAAACGGCCATCTTAGAAACAGAGGCAAGTGGCCGTTATTAGAGAGGTGGTTTTAGGAGCACTTATAGTAAACATTGTCTTGACCCACGGTTGGGTCCAAACTAGAATCTTTGCGTCTTTCTTGATTTTGATTCATTTAATAAGTCCATCTTTTTGCCATTCTGTTTGTTTCCTTTGTGGTGTCCCTCTCGTGACTTGTTATGCAATTCGTAGCCACTGTACGAACAGTTGCAAATTGAAATACTTGAGACGTTGTACCTTTTTGGTGCTTAGATGGCCTATGCAATAGACTATATTGTGCTTGTGACCCACACTCCCCCCCCGCCCCTCCCTTATCAAAGTTGCTAGCAATACTATACCATGCTAAAAACCTGTAGGGACAACTTTTAATGTAGGGAAGGGAGGGGGTGAGAGTTATATCTTACAGATGTGTGACAAGTAGCGTTTTAAAAAGGGCCGGTTTTTTTGTTGGAGTGTCTCACCATTTTTACAACTGGTTGCCGCTTGCTACACGAAGTTGTGTTGACTATGAACTCGCACTCTTTTCTTCATCAAGTCCAACTCAGCAGAATCCCCATCCGTGAGAATTTATCCGAAGTCTTACCCTCTGTTCGTTTTGCTTGCAGATTATTCAGTTTTGCTATGTGTGGAGGCTTATCTTACAATGGAATAGACTTATTGAATTGCTAGCTTATATCTTTTCTATGGTTTACGTCGTGGATGACTTACAACTTGACGATACAAGCTTTACGATATCCGAGGGATCAAGGCAAGTTAATAATGATAATAATAATAATAATAATAATAGCAAAGTTTTTAACGATAAAAATACGTATCTTTTGTTAGAAGTGTAATTAATTAAGAAATTTTACGTCCCGTAATAAGTGCAAAAAGATAAAAAGGAAGAATTAAAATCTAGTATCTAAAAATCCAAAAAATCACGAAATAAAATACTCGCGAAATTAAGTGAGAATGAGGTAGCTGCAGCATTAGAAAAAGGTGTACGTAAAAGGGCTATGGCACCAGGTTATTGCCGTTTTGGGTCAATTCCGTGCTGAAGTCTTTACTTACTACCTTTAACCAAACACGAAATCACCATGTAGCGTTATGAAGAAGACATCAAGCAAATGTCATCAGGAACCACCTAAAATATTAACTTTTTAGGTGATTTTGCAAGTATTTCAGAGATTAAGATTCACGTTTACGCCAAATGGCAAACGTGAATTGGTACTACGTGACCAAGTTTTTCCCTTAATTTTCGTTAACTGTTTGTTACTTCAACTAAAAAATAAGTATTTTCACGCCAGTTTTATACATAAGAATTGTTGTGGACTGTTTTTATCTGCTTATTTTCTATTCTGAGAAATTCGCAACTTGAATTTGACGTTTACCGTTTGGCGTAAACGTGAATCTTAGTCTCTCTATTAATAGTAATAAAACGTGAAAAAAGCTGAGCCAACGTTTTCAATCAAGATTCAATCCATGTTCATCCTTGCTATCCGTAGCAACAGAAGACAGGAAAAAGTTTCAGTGCCTAGATATAGTCGTAAATGATCAAACTGGACCATTACTTTGTAATTGCATTGATGCAAAAAAAATTTTTTAGCTTTTTGAAAAGGTAGCAAATCACGTGAAATAGCCCCTATGAACGTAAATATTTTTGATTTCATTTCCAGGTGCTTTGTTTATCACAACAGTGTAGGTGCGACCGCGGTCTACCTTTCCTGGATTGGCCTTGTTCTTGTTATGCGCAAATTTCCCAAGCTTGGAATTTATGTGGTGATGTTCACCGATATATTCAAGACTTTCGCTCAGTTCTTTGTAGTCTGTTTCCTGTTTATTGTGGCCTTTGGCTTAGGATTTCATATTTTACTATACAATCAGGTAAACTGTGCATCTGCTTTCGTTATATTATTGAATAGGAGTTGCAACGGTTCTCTTATTGTCTAATGAAATATTAATAGCATATGCTAAACACAACATTTTTTGAAGACTTAAGGAACAAATATTCTTCGATCCCTTGCTAGAGACAGACTCCTTTAGTACGTTTGAATTTGCCTAGTGCCTGCACGGCGTTTTCCCAGTCCCTCTCGGTCAATTCACTTCGGTGACGTATCCGAGGCGAACGCTCACATTTTCGCCTGGACCACGTGACCCGAAACGCTTTGGGCGTGCGGAACAATGAGGCCTAGGGACTAGGCAAGGTTTGAATGAGAATGCTCGCCCGCCAGAACTCCACATGAACGTTTGTGTTTGTGTTCAAAATAATACCCCTGGCCCCGTTTGTTTAAACGTTGGATAGCGCTATCCAGCAGGCCGCGATTGTTCAAAAAATAAATAGCTCTATACCGAATAAATGGCTATTCGGCGGTTAATTATTGGGGAAATTAGTTGCCCTTTCCAGTGGATAGTGATTTATCCAGTGGATAGCGCTATCCACCTTTGGAGCAGCTGGCGCCAGATAAATAACTATCCAGCGGATAAGTTCTGTACTGATAAAGATTTATCCAGTGGAAAGCTAGCGTTACCCAGGTTTCGAACAACTGGGCCCTATCCTTAAAATACGCAACATTTGATCTCTATTTCTAGAAAAAATTTTCTACAACTTCGAATCTTTTGCGCCTTTAAGAGGTATTGCACCCTTTGCTTGGAAGTCTCCAATGTGAATACCCCTTTCTAAAGCAGGATTCCCAAAATCACCCATCAGTCACATGTCACATATCGCATAAGTGATTGACCGAAGCGGCTTGAGCATGTCCCAAGCCTGTGTTCGTCACAGAGCAACCCTTCCCTTAAGTCACAATTTTGCCCTGAGGGGGAAGTAAGTGTTAATTTTGACGTAGGGGAGGGGTAGGTAATCACTCATCCAAAAACCTCAATTGATCCGACTGAAAGATGCTCGTTTCCATCTGTAGGTCCCGTACTCCACTCCTGGCAGAGCCATGCTAAAGACAACAATGGGAATGCTGGGAGAATATGAATACGATACAGTATACAATGAAAACGTGGTACCCCCGGTCACGTGGATACTGTACGTAGCCTTCCTCGTCACCAACTGCATTATCATTATGAATTTATTGGTAAGTGACTGTCGGGAAAGAAGGAGACGATCTAGAGGATACGAGTTGTAAATTGTACGGTGAAAAGACCATTTCCAAATTCCAAAAATTCTCCCAAAGTGCAAAACCTTTCTCGTGAAAGTGAGTTTCAATAGTCCTCTTTAGCTTGTATGCTAGAGTATTATGACAGGTCTGTATTGGGAAAACAAAACATACAAACTAAAGAGGTCTGTTGCTTGATAATAACAAAATATTTTCGTTTTAATGGCTTCACACTTGGCCTCGCTTTGAAACAGAGGCTGGGGCAAGTCGGTAATGGCCCATTTGTTGCGAGATTGAGTGCAAAAGGGAAGTGTAATCACGTGATGCGAAACTCGTCATCCTAGTTTGGTACAGACAAATACAGTGCTGTTGGAAAAGTACCTTAAAATGGAGTGATGTTCTTCCCTAAAATGATAGCATTTGTTTTTTTTTTTTTTAAAAAAACTCATTCTTTTGCGTTTGTTTCCTATTAAAGTTGATTGAAATGGCTTATTCCCTATTTTTAAAGTACAAGAGTTGAACCTTTGGTCCGTCCTTTCTTCTTGTGAGTGACCTTTCCGCGTAAACGACGCCCATTCAGAATAGTCTAATCGGAGATTGCCTAATAGGGTTCTTCAGTCCCGTCATCCTAACCCAAATTGTAGCTAAATCCCCTAATCCCCCGATGGTTATTATTGCTATCCTCCACTGTGAATACTTGCAACCCGAATATTGCCCCATTTTGCTTTAAAAACCCGAATCCCGAATCCCGGAAATCAGTTGTTCCAGTGAAAGCTCTATAGTCAGAACCTCTCGTAAGCGGTTATCTCCAATAAGTAGCCACCAAATCTTGGCGTTTTTAATTGTTAACCATAGGTCGGTCTGGCTGTAGACGATATCAAAGGTGTGCAAGAGAAAGCAGTGCTCAAAAGACTGGCCATGCAGGTTTGTCAATGCAACACACAGTAACTGACAAACAATGCTTTTATGTTCACCACAACTTGCCAGCTACAGAGTGTGCATTGTTTATTGGAACGAGGGGTGGTGGGGGGGGGGGGGGGGGTTGGATAAATGTGAAACTATTTTTTCTTTTCCTCTTTGACAATTAAAGATAACTTTTCACCCTTGAGGAACTGTCATATTTTTTGCCCTCTTAAGGTAAAATGGCCTGTTAATTTTTGTTTAATGGCACCTCTTCTAGCGGAAGAATCTAGAGGGTCCGAGGGCATACTTCTCTGGAAAAAATGTTAAATTTTAGTTCTGTGTCAAAAGGTTTCTCGCATTCTGGGGTTAAATTTTAGTTTTTCGGTTACTGAATTTCAGGCAATTTTTTTTTCTGCCAATTGTACCTTTTCACTCAGTTTTGGTTTTATTTTATAAGGTTTTAGACATTGACGGTTTCACCTTTGGTGCTTTGACGTAACGTTGTGCGTTAGCCCTGCCCAGAGAAAACAAGTTTAGAATGAAATCGCTAGTTTTCAAGTATTACTGATAGACTAATGACTAAAAACATTGTCACCTTACTTTAACACGAATTTCCAGTTGCCAATACCACAATTGCTCCCTGGAATTCATCTAAGGCAAATTGTTTTCTTGAAAATTAGCTTTCCGTGTACACATATGTCTACATATGAATTATTTAAATCAATCCATATTGTTCTCGGCGTTATGTGCTACTGACACACAACGCAGATAGAGCTGTTTGATTATTTCTGGGGGAATTTTATCCTGTAATCAGGTTGGTTTTAAGAAGTAAGTGTCCCATTTTTGTGTAGGTTGACCTTGCTTTAGATGTAGAGAAAGCTCTTCCTGCAATGCTGAGACAACGGTTTGCCACAACTCAAGAAGTAGTTTATCCAAATGCTAACAGATACTGGACAATATGGTCATTTTGGAACCAGAATGTCAGTCCTGCAAGAGCAATTAACGAGGCAATGAACCCAGAAAAGGTTAGCGATTATACGCTTTATTTCCTCTGATATAGTAGTGATAGTGAGGCTGGCGTGCAATAAAGACCCCGGGAGCTATATCAGTTGCGGTTAGGAAGCGTAAATGGCATTAGAGACCTTTAGCATCGGTTTTTCTTTGGAAACTGCAAACCGCGAACGGCAGTTTGCGGTTACGCGTTTGCAGTTTCACGTTGACAGTACTTCGAATTTTAACCAAGTGTTCGTTGTTTGGTGGCACCACGTTGTTTTTCGTCAAGTCGGGGTGCTTCACTTTAATCGCCTGAAAAATATCAAGAATTCGTTGATTTGAGTGCAAACATCTAACTAGCACATCACAAGCGGGTGTAGGAACCTATCTTTTGCCTTTAAACGTGAGGCTGTACAAATTTTTTGCCAAAAATCGCTTCCCGCTGGAAGCTCTTGCTGCCTTTCAAGACTGTGGTCACGTGATCTTCTCAGGTTTGCCGTTAACCATGAAAAACCTGATGGTTAAGTCTCTATCATTAACAAAATGAACCAGGTAGCCGTGACACAGCCTCTTTATGTATTTTTACGGCAATAGTCCATTGTTACTGTTTTTTATTGTTTTCTAAGCCAATCCTTGAGGCCTTGTATAGCTTAGTATCGCCCTTCTCTTTGCTAGTATTTCAATTTACTTTGGATTACAAGGCATTGCTATACAAAAGAAAACACCTTTCAGGAACGTCTGTCAACGTTTTTTTTTTTTTATTATTTATCTATATATTTTTATCAGACTCCAATTGAAAAGCTACAGAATCATCAGGAGGCTTTAAAAGACGAAGTAATGACCCTAAAATCAAAACTCAAAGCTGTGTTAGATCATACCACCCAACTGGAGGCCATGATGAAGGCGCTCATGAAGCATCACGGGATATCTGTAGAAGAGGAAGAAGAAGGCGAGGATGACGACTAAACGTGCGCAATGAGTTTTGGGAATTGGTCAATTGGTAGAATGTGAGTGCGCCAGCCCGTTCAAACAGTCTTAACATTTGTCCAACATTCACTTAACAAGAATAAAAGGAAAACCTTTTCTAAGATCTCTGATAATCAAGGAAGCTTTGAACCGGTATACTACCTATCATAACCACTACACTAAAGGAGCAATCATCAGTACCAAATGCCGTTATTATATAGTTTTTCTATCATAAGGAGTTTCCGAAACAGTATATATGAAAGCTAATCATTTTAAGTTAGTGCTTACTAACCCTAGTCTATCTCTATACATCAGTGCAAAACATGATATTACTTCTTTGCCTAAAAAATTGGCTTCCCTTCTTCGTAATTTCCTATTGAATAAGCCTTTTTTCTCCTTTTGAACCATAGAATGCTGTGCTCAGCAATTGTTAATCTGTTTTCGGTTGGCGTATTTCTTTCCCAATGAACTATCAAAGTTTTTTTCACTTCGGTTGGTGCACAAATTTTCGTTTATTTTCTCCCCGTTAGCATCCTTGTCTCGGTCTATCGAAGTGAAAAGTGAAAATAGCTTTGACAGTAAATGGTGTAATATACAAAAACAGCGCTTACTCATTCAATACGCAGACAAACATGCAGCTATCTCTCTGCAAATGCAATTATAATCGGCTGAGAAAAACGTCGCATTTAATATATTAATTACATTATAGTAATAACTGTATTTATTAAACAAGTGCAATCAGTTTTGCTTACCTGCAACCTCGTTCCCAGGATCCTCTCCTACTCGACCCACTTTCTCGCTCCTGGGGACGAGTAGGAGAGGACGCTGGGAACGAGATTGGCTTTCCTTTGGAAATGCCATGAACCATAATGGAAGGCGGCGCGAGGAAAATCTCCCAGAATCCCCCCGTCTACCAAAACCTCCTTGCTTTTGGGTCGTTGAAAACTCTGAAGTACCTTATTTACCCAGAAGAGCTCCGCGTCGCTAATCAAATTTTCCATAGCTTTTCTGTGACCTTATTCGAAGGAGGCGCTTATTTCCTGAAATTTGCATATTGTGATTCATTTTTTTACTCTTTTTCTTTGTTTAATTAAAAAGCGACATCGATAGCACAGAAAGAATGTAGAACGTGGACATCATTATGTGCCCTGCGAGCAGTTTTCCTCTTCCATGGCTTTTAGCGTTTACGAAGTCGTTCGTGTGTTTTATCAGTCGCGTAGTTGGTTTGTTTTATACGCCCCAACTACGCGACAGACGAGCCACGCGAACGACTTTGTTAATGCTAAATGCCATGCAAGAGAGACACCTCTGCTCGCTGGGTAATCATTATGATCCGGAAATGTTAGCCAGGAAGGTCTATGTCCACTTCCACATTCGAATAAACAATAGTAACTGCAATAATAACAATGTCTAAAAAACAAATTAAAAAGCGCCACATTGTCGCTTGAAGTTACTTGCTTATGCGGGGACTTGCTTATTACGCTTTTGCTAGTGAATGCGTTTTATTCCAAAATGTTGGCAAGTTAAGTTTTCCGTTGTCTTCACGACAATTGACCGTCGATGTCTTGTTTTAAAGTAAAAGTTCTGCACACAGATGAAATCAACGCAAATCAAATCAAATCAAATCAAATCAATAAACCGACTATTCTGATTGGACTATATGCAGAATATTCCATAAAACATAATGACATTTGAAAGTACAGATTTAAATGCAGAAGTACAAATTTAAATGGAGGTCTGTTGCAGATGAAATCAAAGCAAAATAAATAAATAATAAATAAATAAATAATTACCATTGGCGGAACTTTAGAATGAAGTGTATGTGGTGCGTATTCGGGGCGGTGCTCTTTCGGGGAATTAGGGTTGTATGGATTGCGTATCAATTTTTCCTCTCTTCTTGCTCTTTTCTCTGTTATTATTCACGTAACTCTCAATTTATCGTAACGCTTGAGACAAGCGAAATGTGTTATTTATTTGAGGAGCGAAGGAATTGTAAAATTATTCAGCAACTCTTTATAATTCGTACTTCCATCACGGTTGCTTCTTATCTCTCAGAACGTGTTGCCTGTAAAATTTGCTAACAAAATAGTAGATTGATGAACCAACAATGTCTCTAGCGCCAAAAACAATAGCCTGAGTGTTTCAAGAGCCAATGATAAATAGTGGTTTCTAAGAGGTTCATCACTCAATTTCGCTTAGGTGTATTTATAATGAAATTTCCATTTACAGAGGGATGTTACTAAAACGGAGAGCGGAATACGAAGAGCACGAGGAACGTTTGGCCGGATTTGTTCCCACTTTTTATTTTTCTGCCCCCTTTGCTCGCTCTTCGCTATCCGTTACCCGTTCCCCGTTTTAGTAACATCCCCTCTGGGATTTTACAGAGGCATATTTTTGTAGAATAGTGTTTGGTGTGTGACCAAGTAATTTAATGTACAGATTTAACGGCTTAAGAAGATATTTCTTATTTTCTGAAACAGTTGGCATTGTATTTATAAATTTGATAACTGCTACAATTTATATGACCTATGACTGAAAATACTCATAACTTTGGGGTCTACATGGTTAAATAAAAATATTTTATTGCATTGCAATGCAGTGTATTATATTTATTGCAATGAAGATCCAAATTTCCTAGAGCTAAGTATTCAGTGCCATTGTTGTCACAAATGATATAATTAGAGATCTTAAGATTGTAAGACGAGGGCGACCATGAGTACGAGATTTTCTCAATACTAAGTAGTGCGCGTGCGTGAACCAGTGTCATTTTGACGGGAAAACGTGATAGCCGTCGTCATTCTACTACACGGCTTTAGCGAGTGTCGTAGTGGCAGAAACAAGTTGTCAAATGCTAGACGTTTTATCATTTTGCAATCGGGAGACGGCTTAACCTCCTTCAATAAAAAATAAAACATGCTTTAATAACTTTTCTGGTCAAGAAAAGGACAATGAAGCCTTCTAGGGTGTCTATTTTTTGAGAATACGCGAACGAAAAAACTTTAAACTAATTCTCGTCCTAGGCTCCCAATCTTCAGGTCTCTATTAGTAAATACGAAAATGCAAATATAATGCACTTTTATAGAAGTACATAAAGTACCATTCTTACCCAGTAAATCAGTGAAACCTCTATAAACAGGCATTGTAATTTGTTTGTTTCATGTTTGTTTTTTTTTGTTTACCCACGCAGCACTTAGGAGTTCTTATGAACTCGTTGAAACGTGTCCGTGCGTTCCAGATCGAATTGGCATTTGAAAGTGCAGGGGCGGATCCAGGATTTTTTTTAGGAGGGGGTGCACTCGTCTCTTGCTCTACTTCAACACCAATAAACCACATAGTTTTTTTTTTTTGCAGAATACCAGTTGTAGCAGGGGGGGTGCGCACCCCCTGCACCCTCCCCCTAGATCCGCCCCTGAGGTGTTGGCTTTTTAAAGGAAAGGGGAAGTATCGGAGTACCCGAAGAAAACCCTTTCGGAGGAAGGGAGAGAACCAACAACAAACTCAACCCAGATATGTCGTGTACGGTGCAACAGGATTCCAACCGGGCCACAATGGTTGGAGGCGGTGCTGCCACCACTGCGTCACCTTTGCTCCCTGTGAGGGACATTAAATGGTGACCACTTAATCAGTAGAGGTGTCCGCTTAATAAAAATTATTATTTCAAAATATTTCTCCGTTCCTGATTGGCTAAAAGCACACGCACAATTCACCACAACCACCTTCAGATGAACAAATTTTGCGATTAATCAACCGATGACGTCAAAAGTGCGACACGGCTGCAGGTTAATGCACCGTTAACCGAGAAGACCTGGTGACGAGGTTGAGTTGTTTTGGTTGTGAAAATAAAAAAGGAAGAAATTTCACTCGTTTCAAGAGTAAGAACTAAGCAAAATAACAGCTAAAAATATGGGAAGAACAGCAAGAAGACAACTCGAACGGTGATATCTGCTATTTGGAGAATATTTGCGAGCTGAACTACCCTAAACGTGCACTATCGAAGATGAACTTAACATCGGTGGAGGTAAGCATGTTTCAGCTATGTTTTAAAACTAGGAATTATTTTGAATGAATTATAAAACAATTACTGAATTTGGCTTTCGTATCATAAGAATTATGGAGATCTCGGAGGGTGTTATCCGCCGAGGCCGTGATGATACTCAGCCTCACTCATTAAATGTTTAGTAACCATCACTGAACTTACAGTTTCAAACTCGCATTATAATATAAATAATTTATTTTTCTAATAGTTTGTTATTTGCGATAAATTGTGGGCGAATTCATAATGTCAGCCGTCTGTGTTTCTGTTGCGGTTCTCTACTGACTCGATTGTTGTATTCATCAACCAAAGTGCTATTTTCAAATATAACAACATCTTATTGGTTCGTCTTCTAATGTCGGTTTTTTTCGTAAAAACCCGCTCAAGAGTCTTGATCTTTAGCAATTGTAATGGCAGTAAACCGTTGACCCTTTAAGCCCCACTATCCACTTTCAAATTCTTCAAACTGGTCTCTATACATTTCCATAAAGAATAAGTTGAGAGAATTTGATAAAATATCAAAGCATTTTCCCTCAGGTGATTACTTCATTAATTCTCACAACCTTCTCTCTTGATTATGTATTGATATTGTGGATCATTAAACGTTTCTGGGAAACTGCCCAGTTACCCTTCCCCTAAGCCAACATTAACACTTGCTTCTCACTTAATTAATTAATTAGGGCAAAATGTTGGCTTAGGGGAGGGGTAGGTGGGCAGTTTCCCAGAAACGTCTAGAAAATTGGTTTTTGTCACTCTTGAGACTTAAATGGTTAAACAAATGTAGGTAGTCAGGTTAAGATAATATTGATAAAAATCGATGACTTTTCGAAATTTTCCATGTTTGTATGAAAAGATAAGACTTTCTTTTATTTCTGCGGAGACTTATGGAGCACCAAATATTCTTACGATTCTTATTACTTTAATTGATTGTTGACAAGTTCTACCACTCATGTCACGACACCATTAAAATGATAATCACTCATACAAAAGGGAAACACTCTAGGCCTGCGCAACAGACGAAACTAAACTCTGGTTAAGTCCGTCTACGAAACAGCGCCGAAATCCTGGTTCTGATTTCCCGCCTGTTTACCAGAATTTGAGTACGCGCCATGATTGGCCTGTTAAAAAAGCAAGTGTCGGTTTGCCAATCAGGATGAAAGGAGATACGACACGCACTTCCGGTAATTCGTTGAGTCCACTGGGTGCCCAGAAGAGGGATCTCGGCTCTGCTTCGCAGACGTTACTTGACATGGTAAGCATCATGTTTACGTCAAATTAACGGCAAAAACGAATTTGTACCACGTGAACAAGTTTCCTCCTTACTTGTAAATTTTACTGTTCATTAGTTTCTACACCTAAATAAGTAGTTTCACGCAATTTTTTATCCATAAGAATTGCTTTGAGCTGGTTTTAGCTGAGATTTTCTATTTTGAGAAATTCTTAACTTGAATCTGAGGTTTGCCGTTTGTCGTATACGTGAAGTACGGGTGCATTTTTGGGGGAAAGTCCAAATCCGTATATCCGAATCCAAAAACGGATTTCGCGTTTTTTGGGGTAAATCCAAAAACGGATCATGAATCCATAAAATCTACACTCAGGTGGATTCTTCAGATCAAATCCAAATCCGGATTTTTGAAATTCCCAATCTGTGCGTTTTTTTGGGAAAGGATTTGAAAAAAGTATTTTTGACAAGCGGTTTTTGAAAAAAAAAATGGTACGCAACAGATGCCGTACATGTATGACATTCTAACTGAACCTATGTTGGTGGCGCCTTATTAATTTTGAGCCAATAATTACCGAGATCATTTCATGTTTGTCATCTATTCAAATTATTGATAGACTGTTTTTAAACCCTTACTTGTCATGTTTTTTGTACGTATGCGAGTGTCTGCTTACGCCAGTTTATTTTCCAAGTGATTAAGAAAAAGAAAACAATTCATCGGCTTCAGTTTTAAATTCTTAAAAGGAGGGTACTCTATTCGAGAAACGTTTGTGTTTCAAACCGAAATATATACATATCGTATTTTCATTCGTATTTTATGTTACTCTTTCTTCTTGTCTTTGCCGTGGGGATCAGTTTGTTGTTTCTTTTTTTCCCACGAGGAGCACGAGGACATGCCTTTGTCATGGTAAATGATCCTTTTTCGGATCTTCCGTTTTTGGTAGTAAAGAATCTGTATGATCTGAGATCACAAATCCGCTTTTGGATTCTCCCAAAAAAACGCACCCTTAAACTCTCTACTAACCGAGGTTGCATTAGGTCTGCTTTGCAGGTAACAACAACACTTGGCTTGATTTTATTGAAGGCGTGTTTATTTTGTTGAAAGATTAAAGCTAAAGACTAGTAGTCCTGACACTAACAGTACTTATAAGCTACAACAAAAAAAACTAACTAGAATTACGGGCAAATAATAAACTAAAGACGTATGACCCAAATCTTCCTCTTAAAAGATCAGTGCAACTTCACTAGTTTTACTACACTAGAAAGTTGGTTTAAAACATAGCACCGGTATACCGTAAAATTCCGAAAATAAACCCCGGGGCTTATATTTTTCAAAGGCCCTTTTTGAGGGGCTTATGTATAGTACGGAGGGAAATTTGCGTTATAAAATTGGTTGAGCTAGCTTGTAGCGGAAAGGAAATTTACCATTTTTGCTTTGTTTTTAACAATTATTCCTTGAGCACGAATGGGCTCTGAGTCAATAGCCCATGAGGCCGAAGGCCGATTGGGCTATTGACTCAGAGGCCATGAGGGCGAGAGGAATAATTGTTTTAGTAAAATCCAACTAATTGGTCAAAAATATCGAGAATAAAAAAAATTTAGTTAGTTAAAGCTAGACTTTAATCCTTTTTGCCGCCAAAAAGCGCGCTACCAGTAGACTGTAACATATAGCCTAGTAGTACCTCAACCAATCAGAACGCAGCATTGATAATAGACCACTAGTTGGATTTTACTAATACTTGTATTCGAGGGCAAATTCCAAGTACAAGCCCCCAGGGGGGCTTATATTCAGAGGGGCGATTTAACGGAGGGTTTTTTGCGTTACGATTTTGGGGGGCTTATTTGGAGGGGCTTATACATGAAGGGGCTTATTTTCGGAATTTTACGGTATCTAACGGTTAAGACACTCTTCTCGGTTTAGAAAGAGTCACTAAATAACCCTATTATACATTACCTGATCAAAACGTCTTATAAACAAAAGAGCGCCTGTGTTTTAAGATAGATAAATACATTAATTTGAAAGTGATTTAATGTAATATAATACCTTTGTTATCTAGTGCGATAAAAATATTGGTCAAAATTTTTGCCTTCGGGGGGAGGGGGTACTTGGGTTAATTTTTGCTGGGTGAGTGCTGATGGCCTCTTAGAGCCTCTACCCCATTATAGTCTATTCTGTTGCCAATTAAAGACCTCATCTTAGTCACTTTGGGGAAAATATGTAATTTTCGCGATCCCTACTTAGTCACTTTCTGTTTATGTATCTACCTAATATTGAATGAAGAACAGTTTACTTTTCACCTACAGTGCAAAAATCAGAAAATGTGCGACCCCGTTCTAGTAACTCTATTGAAAATGCGACCCCACTATAGTCAATCCAGTCGTGAAAATGCGACCTCATCAAGCGACACATCCCCATTAACCTCTTATAAGGAAGTAACCCCCCCCCCCCGGGATTTTTGGAGTATGGTAACTTTTGGAAAGATTATTTCACTTTCATTGCAGATCTCTAATCAAAGGATGGTGGATTTTCTGTTGATTTAAGGGACTACACGCTTAGATTACTGCGCTTTTCAAAAACACACCAACTCTAAAGTTCAAAAGCCAACTCACGTTTGCGCTTTTCGCTGCCATCATCATCTTGGCGGACCTCTTAGGAAACAGAACTTTACTTAAACGGGTTCAAAAGGACATGGTTTGTGATCTGTGATTGGTGGATTTCGATCCGTTTTGTGCGCTTCTGTGTTTCGTTGGTTGTGATCGTAATTATGATTGACGGCAGCGAAAAACGTAATTGGGAAGTCGGCTTTTGGACGTTCGCGTGTTTGTGAAAAGCGATGTAAAGGAGCTACGTCACACTATATGATATCCTTTAAAAAAGCCAAAACGTGTCTTCGTATCATCTGAATTCCAAACGTAATGGTCCAGTTTTGCTATTTAAGACTATATGTGTAGGCATTGAAACTGTTCCCGTCGGTTGTTAATACCGATGGCAAAAATGAACATAGATTGAAACTTGAAAGCAGTTGAGCCAGTTTTTCCAAATTTCAATGCTATCCCTACAACAATCACCAAAATTATTATGGTTAGTTATCCTGATGAATTTGACGGACATCTTGTTCATAACTCTACAGTAGCATTTCGTGTTTGGCGGGTAAAGGTACTAAACAATAACTTCAGCCAGGAGCCCATAATCCGGAGCGAGCAACTTACATGTCCTCGTGTCACGGCGTTTTCACGGACCAGTTTATTTTTAGAACGGTTTCGGCACGAATTTTGAATATCCTTTAAATTCCACAAACCAGTCAGCAAAACCTACAGACTTAAAAATTATATTTTTTGCCTTTTAGTAACGTTTAAATTTCCGTTTTGAAATTTTATACTTCGAATATGGACATATGGTGGAGATTATATTTTCGCGGGAGAAAGTGCCCTAAACTGGTACGTAAAAACGCCGTGAAATAGGCATGGTATGAGAGTTGTTCGCCCCTGGTATGGACTCCTGCTTCAGCACAGAATTGACCTAAAAAAGCATTGTCCTCGTCCCTTTGCGAAATTTCTTGCTGTTCATATTTGCAGGAGGAGGAAAACAGGAGGAGTGCGGTCTGCAGTAAAGGAATATGGTGATTAGGTCACAAGCCTTAATGGTCTTCTTTCATCGTTCTGATCTCCATCGCACATGCTAAGACAGATCCACATAAATTTGCGTAAAAAGCGCCCAGCCACGATGATGAGGCGACTCAGCTGCGATAAAACAGCCGCAACCACAAGAAGGCAAAATAGCGTAGGTACAGCACAGAGAATAATGACTTGTAAAACTTGACAGCCATCCCACCAATAACTCAAATAAGCGTCCGATGTTGCAGCCAACGATAGAAAAGAGGCAAAAAACATGTTGAGAATTGCAAGAACAGTAAGAAATAGCAACGAAATTGTTTCCACCCTGTTCGCCAAACTGTCACGAAATGGCTGAATCATAGAATGATGATGAAAGAAAAAGACACAAAAGAAAATCATGACAAGAAGACGAGACATAGGATCACTGACTAAAGCTTTCAACACAACCAAAATCAACCGGCGTCCGATCATAACACTTTCCCATCCTAAAGACAGTTTTCCGCCAACTTCTGGTCTCTTGAAAGAGTCATAAAGAACTCTCTTTATAGAATTGGCGGTGATGTTGATGGAGGGCGTGTCATCGTTTCCTGCATTGGTTGAAACCAGTGTTTCTTTGTTGTCTCCATATTTTCTTCTTTCAATTAAAGAGATGAAAGCCCAATAAACCAGAGATGGTAAAGGAATAAAACAGGCCAACACCAATTTTTCCCCAGAAAGTGTTTGGTTGTAAAGTTTAAAACGGCCCAAAACAAAACAAGTACGAAAGGTACAAAGAATGCGCAAACAAAAACAATCAACATGTACTGCCACCACTGAAAACACTCCACGTTTCCATCATAAAACATCTGCTTCTCTGAACCAATGGGAACACATCGTAGCAGGTCAAAACTGACAGAAGCAAGAGTTGTGTATCCAAGCAACATGGTTTGTAAAATACCGCCAATATAAGGACCAGCAAATGGTACTTCTCGACCTCGAAACTTCTGAACTCCCCAGTGAACAACATAAATAATGCCAATCATCAGACATGTGCCAAACACGTGTGAAACAGAAAATAACTGCTTAGTTACCACAGTGATCCCAGGAACGGGACAAATCAATCCACCCGATGAAACTCTTAGTTGAAAATTGAAAAGTCCAACAAGAATCTCCGCAAACATTGTTCTCAAAATACGTAGTGACGTACTGGAGACGAGCAAAAGGTTTGCTGCCTGATAAAAGTAGAAAATAATCTTAAGATAACCTCTGTCAAACTCGTTCTCCTCGTCTGTTGTGTCGCGCGTTTTAAACCAGAGGACTTGACGTTTCATCCAGGGGACAATAGGAGGCTTAAACGTGAAATAAAAAGCCATAACCAACACATAAAGCAACGCAACTGGCCAAAACCAGTTATCATTACACTCTTGTGAGGGTCTGCAGTTTGTAGAAAAAAGTGTCTCTGAGTAACCATCACTACACTGTCCACATAATTCACCAGAACGGTTACCCTGGCAACCATTATATTTAGGGAAATCTCTTATGTCAGGTGGGCGACAGTAACCCAGAGGACACATGGTAAACTTAAGCTTTGGCGGAGTACGCTGTTCTTGAAAACCCCAAAAGTTTGGTTTAGCGATTATATTTTGAGAACAGTTTGCTCCAAACGGGCATGGAAGACACTGAAATCCTGGTACCACATGAGATCCAACAGCACGACCACGCTGTAAACTGTAGGAATTGCCTGTACAGGCAGAACAGCTAAACTGCCAAGTACTGAGGGACTCATCTTTTATGTTTAGAATGTCTAGCCTGCTCCCAACAGGACAATTATAATTTGTCAAGTTGTTGGTTCCCAAGTCTATCAGCTTTCCATTTTTTATCAGTATAAAGGGGCCGGTACTGCCATAAGGTCTAACATCTACTGTGGTATTATATAACTTAAGACTTAAGATGTTTTCCGCTTCAAGAAACGAAGTATCTTTAAAAATAATCTTATGCCTTTTAAATTCATTCATTATCTGTCTAAAGAGGGTGTCTTGTATTGTTAAGCTTGCTAAACCAAAGACTGAGTGAATATGTCCACTTGGCAATCTAGCAAAGTTATCAATGAAAGAACAATTATAAAATGCTGCTTTTCCAACACCCAAATATATAGCACCTCCAAATGGTGCAGTATTTCTTTCAAAGACGGAGTCTTCGATGAAAAGGTGAGTGTCTTCTTTGGAACCATCTTTTTTTTGTATTTTCGTATTACTCTTACTACATTCTTGAACCTTAATACCTGTGTGTCCATACGAAGACGACGAAGACAGTCTTAGGGCTCCTCCACTCCCAGAAGAACAGTAATTGTTTTGGAAACGAGACATTTTAATAAAGATACTTACAGTTACGGTGTTACCTGTAACAAGATTGACAGCACCAGCATTGTATGTGGCTGAGCAGTTGTTAAAAGTCGAGTTAACTATAGAGATGGAGAGGAAAACCAGCCCCGTTTGAATCAGAAATGCTCCCCCAGAGTAGCTTGCAGCAAAATTGTTCTCAAAAACAGAATTCATAACTTGAAGACTATTTACATCACCGATTATCCAAAACGCACCACCATAACCTGCAAAGTTATTAGAAAATCGCGAGTTTTGCACTTGAATACTACTGTCGTAGATAACGGCAGCACCTCCAAATTTTTCAGTAGCTCTGTTGTTTTCCATAATGACGTGCCTGAACACGATGAGACTTGGAACATTCAGGGACAGCCATAAAGCACCACCTTGACGAGCATGATTCTTTAGGAACGTACAGTACTCTAAAGTCATTTGGCTGGTGTTCCCGTTCAAATCCTGTTCAGATTTTGAATTGTAAACCCAGATAACCCCACCTCCGAACCCGAATTCCATACCGTTAGAGATAAAACGGCTTTTATTCAGGCTAATTTGCGTATTGGTGTCATAAATCAGGTACAATGCACCACCCTGTATATTAGCACTGCATCCTGTAAAATTGGAACTTTCAATTTTTAAGAGCAAACCAATATCTTTAGGATATGCGCTCGGTAAATTCGATTTTGTTTCGATAGAAATTGCTCCACCATATCCAGCAGTGCATTCCGTAAAGGCAGACTGACTTAGTCGCAATGATGACTCTGAGGCACTAATAAACACCGCTCCCCCGCTTCCGTCATTTGTTGCTTTATTGCCGTAGAAAGTGCTATCCTCTATGCTTGCATTAACATCATTGGAGGATACTATATTGAAAGCTCCTCCTCGGGCAGCAGTTGTGTCAATAAATAATGACTTGGAGACTTTAAGCGTGCAAAGAAAAGCACCAACCAGCGATGCAACTCCACCTCTTCCTTTGGAATTGTGACCAAAAAAACGCGAGTTGAAGATTCCAAATGAAATGTTTGACGCAGTCACATGGAATAAACGCGCATGTTCACTTCTGAAGTTACTGGAATTGACCAAAAAATGTACATCATCAGTAGAGACAACGTATTCACCACCGAGGAAACCTCCCAGAGTATCTAAGACTGTTGACGATGGCGCGTTTTCGCTAATTGTCACGTTCTGAAGGTATATGTTCTGTCTGCCATTGTTAATGTTTAGAAAGAAGAGTCCTGAACTGAAGTTGTTTTTGGAGAATATCACATTATCCAGTGTGACATTGCAGCTAACGGTCTGTATACTGGACTCAGGTTTGTAGAACGAGATACATCCGCCTCTGTCCACACAAAGATTGCCATCGAAGGAGGAATTTGAAAGCTTGAATATTAATTGGATATTTGGCGATAAGGTCATTTCACTTTGCACAACTATTGAAATGCACCTACGGTTTTTAGAGAACGTCGAATTTGTAACCAGCATCTTCGAGAACGCACTGTAACGAATAACAATTTCCACGCTCTGATTACTACCTTGGAACTTACAACCATCGATATGAACAGAGGAATCTTGAACATATACAAGGCTTTCACTAAATAAAAGTCCTGATATAGTTATATTCATGTCCTCCGCGCTATCAGAGCCATTGAACACCAACCCTGTTTCTTCGAAACAACGTATCTGAGGCATGGGATTAGCAGAACCAATCAGTGATAGAGTCTTGTTGATGTATATTCCCGGATGTTGTGACGTTCCTGATTGACAAGTATAAGGGTGTTTGTCAGTGTTGTTACCGTCAATGTGAATTTTATCTCCTCTTGACATGACAGTTCGCCCAATGGTTTTGCAAGGATTCGATTGATCACAAGACCATTCATCATTACCAGAGCGAGAGACGTACAAGCTTTTTCCTTCGACAACATTCCCTGAAAAGTTGCCAGAAATAGAATTATGCTATTTGAGTCAGTGAGACAAGCGACAAGAAAGGCGCTAATCCAATCCAACAGAAAACACATAAGTTTAAAGATAAAATGCGACAAAAGACAAAACAAAACAAAAGATTCCCCACTTTAAAGATTCCCGCTTTTAAAGATTCCCTGTTTTAAAGATTCCCGCTTTGAAAGATTACCCACTTTAAAGATTCCCTGTTTTAAAGATTTCCCACTTTAAAGATTCCCGCTTTTAAAGATTCCCCATTTTAAAGATTTCCCGCTCCCCGTTCCCCATTCCCATTCCCATTCCCCGATTCCCCGTTCCTTCTTTTAAAAATAGCTTTCACGGGATAATTGTTTAGGACAATCCTTTGCTTTTTAGCTTTAGTTTACAATTGATATTTTTTTCAGAACAGCCATTTTGTGGAAATTATTCGTCATTAGATTCTCATAGTGATACAAACACTGTAATTTCTCACAAATTTGCCTACTCATCAAGATGGCGTCGAAAACCGTGACAAGGTCTATCCTTCATAGAGTGTATTGAAGCCGAACATCTATCCTCACCTTTATAAAATATGACACTCCATATGAAATAAAACTTGATAAAACTAACTTCTGTCGGTATTGGCATTTTACTGGCACTAGACTACTTGCAGTCCGCCTTTTCTGTCAGCCAGCGCGATTGCAAACACGTTGCAAACCACGACGTTGTGTTACAATAAAAGGATTAGGATGTCTTTACAGTGACCCGGAAATGACCACACAATAGAATCGGGACGATTGGGTGTAGTGTTACGCACGCACACTGTCGTAAATGCCTTATTCAGTTATAACTTTTCCCAAAGTGAAATGGGAGTTTCTTCGGAAAAATGTTAATGAAATACTTTTTTTAGCCTACGTTAGTGGTAAAATGGCTAAGGATATGCCAAACGACAGGTTAAACAGAGCTAAGCATGTCCCGTTGTCGGATGACTGGCAACAACAATTTGCATCTGTTGCGCAAAAAAGAATTGACTTGTGATCCCAGTCCGGGGGGAGACTCCGTATGATGCGCTAGAAGACTTAGAACCTTTTTCAAAATTTTCTATACATTTGTCTGTTTTTCAGTAGAATCCTGAAGAGTGAAGCTTTAGTTAACAGTTGATATACATTTTTTAAAACAGCCATTTTACCAGCCTGCGAACAGCAAACGCATTTCCGGAAATTATTCGACATTAGATTCTCATACAAACACAGTAATTTCTCACGGGTTTGCCTACTCGTGAAGATGGCGTCGAAAACCGTGACAAGGTCTATTCCCAGAGGAAAAATGAACGGTTATGTCCTAGACTGCAAAACAGTCCGCATTTTTGCGTATTCAAGTACGCGCGAGCAGTCAAACAAAAGGTGTGGAACGAGGCTGAAAATAGAGAGCGAGACTGGGGAGAGACGCTAAAAAATACGTTTTTTCTTTCTCGCCTCACACGCCATACGGGCGTACGGGCGTGTGAGGCTCGCGCGGTTTGCGCGCATAAGACTCTTACGCCACGCGTTACCGATTTCTTTACTGATTTTGAGGAAAAAACCGACTGTTTTGCAGTCTAGTTATGTCCTTGCGCTATGCCAAACCGTCTCGCAGCCCCCACCCAGCTTCTGCCACACATTGGTGCGCAATACATGAAGTCTTTCATTGTCCAGGCGGGAAAGAGTTCGATCGGATCGGAGCAGGATTGAAGACCCCTCGATATTAAACAATGCCACCAAAAAAGAGCAAGGAGACAAAGGTATGATGTTTTGTAGTAGTAAACGTGATTTTGATTTCTTAAACTCGTGTTTGTACTTGTCCATAGGCGACGTTCTATGTGGGTAACGATCAATATGTTTCTCGCCATGCATTTGTTCGATTTGCAGAGTTTTCCGGAAAGACAGGTATTAAAAATACGTCTCTCACGGACCAAGCGATC